TTTTTTGGATGGAAAAGGGGAAAAAAAGAAGCAAAGAAATCTTTCTCGGGATCTAATCAGGGGAAGCATATGACTCGGCACTCAGTGCCAGACTTCCAGCAGGCTCTCTCTGGCAAAGGCAAAGGCAATAAAAATGGTCTTTTTGCCGCTTCCTCCTTTTTGCGTCAGACTCCCAACCTTTTGCTGCTGAAAATATTTGATGAATAAGTGAGTTAAGAATATGTTGCGACGGTTTGCTTTTGCCTGAGCCGACTGGGAAGTTCAGGACTGAGCCTTCTTCTCTGAAACACCTTTTGAACTTGGTTTGCAGCAATAAACTGAAGACCAAGGGGGGAAGCAGAAGGAGAAACTGGGACGTTTTAAAAGCAGACGAGAAAGCAGGAAGACAGAGGATTTATAGGGAGAATTCCTACTAAATTGGGACATTCAGGCAAAGGAAGGCAAAGGAAGGAGAAACTGGGACATTTTAAAAAGTAGATGGAAAAGTGGGAATGCAAAGGATTAATAGAGACCATTATAGTGAAACTGGTAGACACAATCCAATCCCTCCCGACAGATTGCCATCCAGTCTCATAGACATTCATGGAGGGTTGGGATTCTAGATTCAAAGACTCCTAGAGTTGGAAGGACCATTCACTCTGACCTCGTTCTGCCATTGAAATACACAATACACAATTAAAGCCCTCCTGACAGATGGCCATCCAGGTACTGCATAATAATAATAATAATAATAATAATAATAATAATAATAATAATAACAATAATAATAGAATGCTAGAGTTGGAAGAGACTGACCCTAAGGGTCACTTTGTTTGACATCATTCTACCATTAAAATACACCATCCGATCCCTCCTGACAGATGGCCATCCAGCCTCATAGATACTCATGCAGAACTGGGACTCTAGATTCAAAGACTCCTAGAGTTGGAAGGGCCATTCAGTCTGACCTCGTTCTGCCACTGAAATACACAATACACATTTAAAGCCCTCCCAATAGATGGCCATCCAGGCACTGGTTAATAATATTAATAACAATAGTAACAATAATAATAGAATCCTAGAGTTGGAAGAGATTGACCCCAAGGGCCATTTAGTTCGACATCATATTAGCTACAGAATCAAAGACTTGTAGAGTTAGAAGGCCATTCAGTCCAACCCGGTTTTGCCATTGAAACATAAAATTAAAGCCCTCAGAGTTGGAAGAGACAGATCCCAAGGTCCATTGAGTTCGACACTATTCTACCATTGAAATACATCATCCGATCCCTCCTGACAGATGGTCATCCAACTTCAGAGACATTAGCTATAGAATCAAAGACTCCTAGAGTTGTAAGGGCCATTCAATCTGACCCAGTTCTGCCACTGAAATACACAATTAAAGCCCTCCCGACAGATGGCTATCCTGGCATTGCTTAATAATAATAATATCGATGATGATGATGATGATAATAATAATAATAAAATCCTAGAGTTGGAAGAGACTGATCCCAAGGGGCATTGAGTTTGACACAATTCTACCACTGAAATACACCATCCGATCCCTCCTGACAGATGGTCATCCAACCTCAGAGCCATTAGCTATAGAATCAAAGACTCCTAGAGTTGTAAGGGCCATTCAGTCTGACCCAGTTCTGCCACTGAAATACACAATTAAAGCCCTCCCGACAGATGGCTATCCTGGCATTGCTTAATAATAATAATATCGATGATAATAATAATAATAATAATAATAATAAAAATGCTAGAGTTGGAAGAGACTGATCCCAAGGGGCATTGAGTTCGACACAATTCTACCACTGAAATACACCATCCGATCCCTCCTGACAGATGACCATCCAGCAAGGATGCAGCTAAAAAACCAACTGGGAGATCCAGCACAGCGAAAACTGGGACATAACTGTAAACAATTAGGGAAGAAAGAGATTAGAAGCAGACGAAAGAGAGAAGGAGACGTATAATTTCATGAAGGCGGTATAATTAAACGTCTGGCGGAAAGTGGGAAGTTAAAAAAACAAAGATGGAAAGGAAAGAAGGGAGGAGAAGAGAGGTCAAAGGAATTTTCTTCCCCGAAAGAAAAGGGCCGTGACAGTTCGGCTTCGTTCTGCTTACGTGGGGAATTTTTCGCCTGAACATTTCCAAGCCCTCCTCTCCACCCAAACAGAGGCCCTCCTCCGTCCTTTTGCAATGCTGGCATACATTCCCACTCAACACATATAGGAAAATATAGAGAGATCCCAAACATTTTCACCAGATCCTGAAGAAAGGGTCCTTCTTTTGTAATCTTCCTCCTCCCGGACCAGATTCAGCTTTTTTCTCTCTCTTTCCCCTGTTGTCAGAAAGTTCTGCAAGGCTTTCAGGGCAAGGATTCTTTCTTTTTTTTTTCTCCCCCAAGGAACAGCTGGAGCGAGGGAAGGAGGGAGGAAGAGAGAGAAAAAAGAGGGAGGAATAGAGGGAGGAGGGCAGAAAATCAAGGACAACCCTCCGGATTTGCGTAAGGCCAAAAGGGACATCCCAAAAGATATGGGGCAGAGAGAGCCAAAGAGGCTCAAAACTCCCTCCCTCTCTCCCTCTCCCCCTCTCCCCCTCTCTATCTATCTATCTATCTATCTATCTATCTATCTATCTATCTATCTATCTATCTATCTCATTTGGATATAGATACATATACTATCTGTCTATCTATTTTGCTTAAAACCTCTTATCGTTTAGATATAGATACATATACTATCTGTCCGTCTGTCCATCTATCCATCCATCCATCCATCCATCCATCTATCTAGCGTCTAGATCAGTGGTTCTCAATCTTCCAAGTACCGCGACCCCTTGAGAGAGTTCCTCATGTGGTGGTGACCCCCAACCATAACATTATTTTCGTTGCTACTTCATAACTGGAATTTTGCTACTATCTATCCTCATTATCTCTGAGGATGCTTGCCATAGATGCAGGCGAAACGTCAGGAGAAAAATTGCCTCCAGAACATGGCCATATAGCCCGAAAAAACCTACAACAACCCAATTTTGCTACTGTTCTGAATCGTAATGTAAATATCTGACATTCAGGATGTATTTTCATTTGCTGGACAAAATTTGGCACAAATATCCGACTCACCCAAATTTGAATACTGGTGGGGTTGGCTGGGATTGATTTTTTCACTTGGGAGTTGTAGTTGGCTGGGATTTATAGTTCACCTACAATCAAAGAGCATTCTGAACCCGACCAATGATGGAATTGAACCAGTCTTGGCACACAGAACTCCATGACCAACAGAAAATACTGGGTTTAGTGGGCATTGACCTTGAGTTTTGGAGTTGTAGTTCACCACATCCAGAGAGCACTGTGGACTCAAACAATGATGGATCTGGACCAGACTTGGCACAAATACTCAATATGCCCAAATGTGAACACTGGTGGAGTTTGGTGAAAATAGACCTTGACATTTGGGAGTTGTAGTTGCTGCAATTTATAGTTCACCTACAATCAAAGAGCATTCTGAACCCAACAACAATAGAATTGAGCCAAACTTCCCACACAGAACCCCCATGACCAACAGAAATAAAAATACTGTGTTTTCTAATGGTCTTTGGTGACCCCTCTGAGACCTCCTCTTGACCCCCCCAGGGGTCCCGACCCCCAGGTTGAGAAACGCTGTTGTACATAAACATATATAAACATACACACACACACACACTGTCTATCTATCTATCTATCTATCTATCTATCTATCTATCTATCTATCTATATCTATCTATCTATCTATCTATCTATCTATCTATCTATCTATCTATCTGAGTATGCCCTCTCTGCCCCATATATCTTGTACATAAACATATATAAACATACACACACACAAAGTCTGTCTATCTACGTATCTGTCTGTCTGTCTGTCTGTCTGTCTATCTATCTATCTATCTATCTATCTATCTATCTATCTGAGTATGCCCTCTCTGCCCCATATATCGTGACCCCTGCTTTCCCCCATCTATCTATCTATCTATCTATCTATCTATCTATCTATCTCTCTATCTATCTATCTATCTATCTACCTATCTCTCTATCTATCCATCCATCTATTTATCTTCCTACTCTATCTATCTATCTATCTATCTATCTATCTATCTATCTATCTATCTATCTATCCACCAACTTGTCTGTCTGTCTGCCTACCTACCTACCTACCTACCTACCTACCTACCTACCTATGTGTTATAGCAAACTCTCAGTTCTCTATTAGGTTTGGGAAGGGAGGCATAGAGCCCCAAGGCCCTTGAAAGCGGCGCTCAGCCAAGCAAAGGAAATCCATGGGTGTGAGGCCGCATTTCCTCCGAATGAATGCCGGAGAACAAGGGAGGGTGGCGAGTTCGAATCGCCGGGCCGGGAGCCAAGATTACGTTCCGGGGAAGTGCGGCCAAGGCAGGGAAGAAGAAAGCGTGACCTATTATCCCCTTTTCAAAAAGGAAAGAAAGAAAAACCAGGAGGCTTTTGTCAGGGGATCTCTTTTTTTCTCCCAGACCACTCAATGTGAAGGCCAGGAAATGGGTTCGAAAGGAATCAATGTTCTGTCCCAACTTGGCATGAGAGACGTTTCTCCAAGTTATGATTTCCATTTTAGGGGGAGCACTTTAGATCAATGTTTAGGCATTTGGCTTGAAAACAGTCTCCATGAAAGGGATCTTGGAGTCTTATCAGACCCCAAGCTCAGCCAAGAGTGTGATGCTGCAGTGGAAAAAGCCAATGCAATTCAAGGCTGTGTCAATAGGTGTCCAATGTCCACATCAGGAGACATCACAGTCCCAACCCCCTTTGGCTTTGGTAATTTGCAATATTTCTATGTCCAAGACAATATAGACAAGATGGAATATGTCCAGAGAAGAACGACCTTTGGAGGTTTTGAAGCAGCGACTGCATGGTCATCTGTCGGGAAGGATCGGATGGTGTCTTCCAGTTGACACTAAAGTTTTATGAACCTGCTCGGTTGTCACATCAATTGTTTGAGGTTCTCCCATTCGTCTCGACTTCCTTTGCCGTCACCAAAGCGAGGAAATGAGGTCAAGGCTTCAAAGGCGATACCTCCAGCGCACAGAGTCTCACATCTACCATTCGCACACGTCTTCCGGACGCTCAGCTTCCAATTCGATCCACTTCTTCTTCAAGAGACATTTTCACCGACTCTCCGATCAGGTAAAGTTGAAATGGGATCGAAGTTACTTTCATAGCTTCCAAGCAGTCTGGATGATTCCTCAGTAATTTACAGCCTTTGCTCAACCCCTAACACAGTGGTTCTCAACCTTCCTTATGCTGCGACCCCTTAAAACAGTTCCTCATGTTGTGATGAGCCCCAACCATAACATTATTTTTATTGCTACTTCATAATTTGAATTTTGCTACTGTTATGAATTGTAATGTAAATAGCTGATATACAGGATGTATTTATATTCGCTGGACTAAATTTGGCACAAATACCCGATACATCCAAATTTGAATACTGTTGGGGTTGGAGGAGGATTTATTTTGTCATTTGGGAGTTGTAGTTGCTGGGATTTAGAGTTCACCTACAATCAAAGAGTATTCTGAACTCTACCAACGATGGAATTGAACCAAACTTGGCACACAGAACTCCCATGACCAACAGAAAATACTGGAAGGGTTTGGTGGGCATTGACCTTGAGTTTGGGAATTGTAGTTCACCTACATTCAGAGAGCACTGTGGACTCGAACAATGATGGATCTGGCACGAACACTCAATCTGCCCAAATATGAACACTGGTGGAGTTTGGGGAAAATAGACCTTGACATTCGGGAGTTGTAGTTGCTGGGATTTATATGTAGTTCACCTACAATCAATGAGCATTCTGAATCCCACCAATGATAGAATTGGGCCAAACTTCCGACACAGAACCCCCGTGACCAACAGAAAATATGGAGTTATTTGATGGTCTTTGGCGACCCCTTTGACATCCCCTCGTGATCCCCCCAGGGGTCCCGACCCCCAGGTTGAGAAACGCTGCCCTAACACATCATTGTCATTTGCTGTATTGAAGCATTCCTATTATGAGATGCCACCAAAACCGTTGGAAGAAGTTCTTGGTGGAATGGGTTGCCTTCAAAGATGGTGAAGTCTCCTCTGCAGAAGCTGGATAGACGTCTGTTGGTAGGGTTTGGATCATGTCTCCCGTTATGGCAGAAGGGGGTCGGACTGGATGGCCCTTGGGGTCTCCTCCAACTTGAGGGTTCTATGGTAGAAGAACTTGTACCCAAAATGTCATGTAAATATGAAGGAAGACAGGTCAACCAGGGAAAACCCAAACATGGTTGATGTGTTGACCATACAGAAAGCAAGGAGGTGGGATAGAAGGAGGAAGACAGATTGATTAGGTGAACTCTAAGGATGGTTGATGTGTTGATGATGAAAAAAAGCAAGATGATGGAATAGAGGACAGGCTGACCAGTTGAAACCCAAATATGATTGGTAGGTTACTGTGGAAAGAAAAACATGGTGGAAAGGTTGACCAGGTAGAATATACATATAGTGGTAGACAGGTTGATCAGAAAGAACTCAAACATGGTTGATGTGCTGACCATGCAGAAAGCAAGAAGGTGGAATAGAAGGAGGAGGGCAGGTTGACTCAGTGAACTCTAAGGATGGTTGTTGTGTTGACGGTGGGATAGATGTAAGAAGACAGGTTGACCAGGTGAGACCCAAACATGGTTGGTAGGTTAATGTGGAAAGAAAAACATGGAGGACTGGTTGATCACATGGAATATAAGTATGGTGGTAGACAGATTGATCAGAGAGAACCCAAATATGGTTGATATGTTGACTATGCAGAAAGCAAGAAGGTTGAATAGGTGTAGGAGGACAGGTTGGCAAGGTGGGACTCAAACATGGTTGGTAGATTGATGTGGAACGAAAAACATGGCAGACAGGTTGACCAGGTGGAATATAAGTATGGTAGACAGGTGGATCAGAGAGAACCCAAACAAGGGTTGATGAGTTGACTATGCAGAAAGCAAGAAGGTGGAAGAGACATAGGAGGACAGATTGACCAGTTGATACCAAACATGGTTGGTAGGTGAATGTGGAAATAAAAACATGGCAGACAGATGAACCAGAGAGAACCTAAACATGGTGAAGAACCAAGCATAATGGGTAGGTTGACCAAGTGGAACCCGAACAAGGTTGATATGTTAATGTTGTAAAAAGCAAGAAGGTAGAATAGATGCAGGTGGATAGGTGGGATTCAAGTATGGTCGATGTGTTGACCTTGCAGAAAGCAAGAAGATGGGGTTGATGTAGGAGAACAGGTTGACCAGGATAGGTTAATGTGGAAAATGAAGTATAATGAGCAAGTTGACCAAATAGAATATATGTACACTGGTAAACAGGTTGACTAGAGAGAATCCAAACACGATTGATGTGTTGAACTTGAAGAAAGCAACAAGGTGGGATAGATTTAGGAGGACAGGTTAACCAGTTGAAATCCAAACATGGTTGGTAGGTTAACATGGAAAGAAAACTATGGTGGATGGGCTAACCAGGTGGAACCTAAGTGTGGTGGTTGAGAGATTGACCAGAGGGGATCCAAGGATAGGTGATGTGTTATGCAGAAAGCAAGAAGGTGGAGTAGAACGAGGAGAACAGGTTAGCTAGGTGGAAAACAAGGATAGTGATATGAAAGCAAGGAGTGGCAGAATGAGCAAGAAGAACACAAGCGGGTTGAATGGTTTGACCAAGTAACATGTAAGCATAGTGGATGGGTCAACTACAAAGAACACGATTCACTTCTGAATACAAACACTCAGCTTTCCCTTTTTTACATCTAACTTTACAACCAATGGGGATCTTTTGAAAAGACTCGTCTTCTTTCGAAAATGCAAGTGCAGATTTTTCCACTTAACCTGCAAACACTTCATGTCACTGGTTCTTCACACCCACGATCAGGTCAGAAGTTTCCAACCGCATTTCTGAACCATCCGGAGGCTTAAGACGAGGATTGCAAATCTCACATACACAGGGGGGGGGGGGGGGGGGGGAGCTCTGCTCATCTTTGTCCCTTCAAAGATGTCTACTTTACCCTCACGGATTGCCCTAAGCAAGATTTTTAGAGGAAAATTTAGGGAAGTCCATGTGCGGAGGACGTGGGATTTTCCCCCAAGTATTCCCCACCCACTCCAAATAATTTCTTCACATTTTGGAAGGACTTGTTGCTGTTTCTTCTCCACCTTTTACACATTTTCCTCGACACTAGTTCAGCTTCCTGCCACAGCTTCCTGCTCTGGTGGCAGAAAACTCGTCAAAGTTTTCGGGCTCAGAAGAAATGATTGCAAACACATGCAAATCTGGATTAATCCAAGCCATGTGTGGTTGGGGAAGGCCATGTGCTTCTTCCCAGAGCCTGGCTCTTGACTCCGGTGGGATCTCCACCCCAAAGACTGGAAATGTTTTGGAGTGAAAAAGCCCACAAAACTGCACCAGCATGGCTGTGGGATGATGGGAGGTGGAGTCATAGCTTCATAGGAAGGGAGGCCAGGTTGACAAGGGTTATTAGATGCAAGTTAGAAGAAAAGTGATGGCACCTAAATGCTATAACATGACTGTAAGAGTTGGAATAGACTGCTAAAGAGGATGGTGGTTGTCTCCATGGTTGGAGATCCTTCAACCAAGGTTAGATGGGCATCTCTAACCTCTGGAGGTCCATCAACCAAGGTTTTATTTGCATGACAGAATAAGATTGAACTTGATGCAATTCCTTCCAACACTACGATTCTAGAGTCGGTGGGGTCTCCTTCTTTTGAGACCTCCAAACAGAGCTTGAACAGAGTACTTCAGTGGCCCACTCCTGCAGGGCTGGGATTTGGAGTAGATGACCTTTGAGCATCCTTTCCTGCATTCATTCCTATTTGGGTCCCTTCCAGTTCAAGGAGTCTATGAAGTCCTTACCTAGATGTTCATGGAAGTTCAGTCATTCAGCCCAATTTATTACCTAGCACCCCCTTCTCTGATGTCTCTGGAAGATGTCCCAAGTGGTCAGATGTCTCTGATGCTCTGTGATGTTGACTCCCTCTGAACAAAAGTTACCTTCAAACCCAACCCTTTTAAGCCATGGCAGAATGGGACTGGACTGGATAGCCTTTGGGGTTTCTTCCAACTAGAATTCCATGGTTATACTAACAATGATTTCCCTGGTTTTCTGTTTGGTAGCCATTTCTGAAGCACCCTATGATCACAATTTTGGTAGCTCCAGGATCCTCCTGAGATGCCCAACCCGGCTGCTCACTTGCCCTTCTACTTCGGCAGCATCTCCCGTTCAGATGCTGAGGAACACCTGAAGCTGGCGGGGATGTCAGATGGGCTCTTCTTGCTTCGACAGTGCCTCCGAAATCTTGGAGGCTATGTCCTCTCCGTGGTCCACAAGCTCCAGTTCTACCATTATTCCATTGAGCGGCAGATGAACGGAACCTTCGCCATCGCTGGGGCGAAGGCTCACTGTGGACCCGAGGAGCTCTGCGAGTTTTACTCCAAGGATGCTGATGGGCTTTGTTGTCCGCTCCGGAAGCCCTGCAACCGCCCCAATGGCATGGAGCCCAAGCCTGGCATCTTCGACAATATCCGGGAAAACATGGTGCGCGAATACATCCGGCAGACGTGGCATCTGGAGGTATGGACACGTATCCTTCAGCACCCTTTGTTTCCCTTTCCACTACTTTGACAAATCACATTAAAGCACGGTTTCTTCTGGTGGGACTCCGTAGCTTTTGTCAGGTTTTCACAGAGTTCAGAAAGGTATGGGTTGAGATGGTGAAATTGGCTGACAAGGAGGTGGGTTTGTCCAGCGCGATCCCCACCTAAATGGTTCCTTCTCACAGGGAGAGTCGCTGGAGCTAGCCATCATCAGCCAAGCCCCGCAAGTGGAGAAGCTCCTGGCCACCACGGCCCATGAAAAGATGCCCTGGTTCCACGGTCCCATCTCCCGGCAGCAAGCTGAAAGCCGGCTCTACTCTGGCTCCCAGCCGGATGGGAAATTCTTGTAAGTCAGGAGAAGATGTGAAGTCAGGGAGGTGGAAAAACTACTTAGCCATTCCATTCCAGTGCTGTGTTCCCTTGTTGTTTCATGGTGGGACATCTGTCTGTGCATTCTTGCTGTCTAGTATTCAAAATACCACTTCCACTCTACCTGTTCCTCCTCCTCTTCTTCTACCTCTAGATCTCTCTTTCCATCTCTTCCTCTTTTACCTTTTCTTCTTCCACATCTTTCTCACCCCCTCCCTCCTCCTCTTTATCTAAATCTTCTTCCACCTCCTCCTCTACCATCTCTTCCTTTTCTTCTACTTCTTTTTCTTCTGCCTCTTCTTGTACGTCTACCTCTTCTTCCTCCACCTCTTCCTCCTCCTCTTCTTCTACCATCATGTCATCATCTTCTACGACCACCTCTTCCATCTCCACTACTCCTTCTCCTCTAGATCTACCTCGTCTTCCATCTCTTCCTCTTTTAGCTCTTCTTATTTATTTATTTATTTATTAACTACACTTTTATCCTGCCCTTTTCAACCCGAAGGCGACTTCCACATCGTCCTCATCCTCTATCTCTTCTTCTCTTCTTCTAAGTCTTCTACCTCTATTTCCATGTCCACTACCCCTTCTCCTCTACACCTACTTCTTCTTCCACCTCTTCCTCTGCCATCTCTTCCTCTCCTTATTCTAGAAACTCTTCTTTGTCTGTCTCTTCTTCTACAGCTACTTTCCTCCTCCTCTTCTTCTACCATCACATCATCATCTTCTACCACCACCTCTTCCACATCTTCTTTTCCTTCTCCTCTAGATCTACCTCTCCTTCCACTTCTTCCCCTTTTACCTCTTCTTCTTCCACATCTTCCATATCCTCTACTTCTTCTCTTCTTCTAACTCATCTTCCACCTCTACTTTCACTCCTCCTTCTCCTCTACATTTGCTTCTTTCACCTCTTCCTCTTCTTCTACCACCACCTCTTCTTCTGCCTTTTTTTACATGTACCTCTTCTTCCTCCACCTCTTCCTCCTCTTATTCTTCTACCATCACATCATCACCTTCTACCAACACCTCTTCCTCCTCCTCCACTACCACCACCTCTTCCTTCTCTTCTCCAAACTGGATGTATTCAGCTCGCTAAATTGCTCCTCAACCTAGACTCCTATTGATGTGGTCTTGAATTGTCTTCACATCCAGGTTGAGGCAAAAAAAGGAGAATGGATCCTATGCCCTGTCCCTCATCTATGGAAAGACAGTTTATCACTACCAGATCTTCCAGGACAAGGCTGGGAAATACTCTGTGGAAGACGGGAGCAAGTTTGACACACTTTGGCAAGTGGGTTTGAGCTGTGTTTCACCCCCTTTTTCCTCCTATCCTTTGTGCATTTAAATCTGGGATTCAATGAGATTCCTGAGCTGTTTTTGGCCCCCGAACCCCCAATTTTACCATTTTGACCATCACTCTCATTTCTTCCCCCAAAACTCTTTCCCTAGTTAGTGGAATATCTCAAACTCAAACCTGATGGCTTGCTCTACTATTTAAAGGAGGCCACTCCAAATCCTGATTCTCCAACAGGTAAATCTAATTTAATTCTTCAGGCTTTCCCACTATTGGAAATGTGAGCGACATTGAAGCCAATGGAAAATCCCTCCGATTCAAGGCCCAATTGGCTTCAATGAGATCCTAAGTGATATTTTGTTATTGTTTTTGCTTTGCTGTGAGTTATTTATTGTTGTATTGTATTGTTGTGGTTATGTTTTTTGTTCTGATGTATTTTGGGCTCTGCCTCTTGTAAGCCGCACTGAGTCCTGCGGGAGATGGTAGCAGGGTATAAATACAGGTTTATTATTATTATTATTATTATTATTATTATTATTATTATTACAAACTAAGGAAATGTTTCTAATTTCTAGGAGCCACGGCTTCATCTCCGCCGGCACTTCCCTCTAGTTTGGTAAGCCCCTTCAGCCTATAATTCTATGATTTTCTCACAACTCAATGGGAAAACATTTGGTCAAATCCCTTTTTCTCAGCCCTACCTCGCAGGGTTATAGTTGAGCATCCCCTCATCTCAGCTTTGCTCTTTCTCCATCAGCCGCCTCGAAGATTCACATCCCAGAACTCCGATGGATACACGCCCGAACCCATTGGTGAGTATGCCATCTGCAAAAAAAGATATATAATTTTTATTTATTTCTTGCACCAATAGGCTTCCTTTCTTCTAATTTTCCTATTGCATTTGCTTCACAATACCGCCACCTTGTGGCTGGTTATGGCATTACATGTGGGTTCCCAATTCTGCGCTTGAAAAGCTTGCAATGAAGCGAGAGAATTCTGGCAAGAATCCTTGCAAACTGCCTTCTACCCATACTCAGAAGACACCCTTCTGGAATTTCAACCCTCCAGAGGAACAGTGGGCATGATCTTCACTGCACAACAGCTTCAAGAAAAATGCAGGGAACGAAATCAACCTCTGTCCATGGCATTCATTGACCTTACAAAGGCTTTTTAACACAGTGAATTGCAGCGCTCTCTGGAGCATCCTCCAAAAAATTGGTTGCCCTGACAAATTAGTGAATCCTGCAGCTCCTCCGTGATGACATGATGGCAACAGTTTTTGACAGCAGTGGCTCCCAAAGTGACCCATTTAAGGTGGAATCAGGTGTCAAACAGGGATGCGTTATTGCCCCAACCTTATTTTCCATCTTCATCACTATGATGCTTCATCTTGTTTCTGGGAAGCTTCCCACCGAAGTGGAAATCATCTATCGGACAGATGGCAAGCTATTTAACCTCAGCAGACTGAAAGCCAAAACCAAGGTTACAACAACATCTGTTATAGAACTCCAATATACTGATGATAATGCAGTCTATGTGCATTCAGAAGAAGACCTACAAACCACTCTAAATACCTTTACAGAAGCATACTAGAAACTCGGCCTCTCATTGAACATTGAGAAAACCAAAGTGCTCGTCTAGCAGTCATCAGCGAATCCCTCTGCAATGCCAGAAATACAGATAAATGGTGTAACATTAGAAATGTTGACCATTTCCACTCCCTTGGCAGCCAGTTACCTCTCCACAAAAGTCAACATTGGCACTAAATACAACACCTCCTGAGCTCTGCGAGTGCAGCATTTTTCCTAATGAAACAGAGAGGGTTTGAAGATCAGGACATCTGTAGGGAGACCAAGGTGCTTTTTATAAAGCTATTGTCCTCCCCACCCTGCTATACGCCTGTGAGACATGGACAGTCTACAGGTGTCACATGCAACTCCTGGAACGATTCCATCAGCGCTGCCTCCGGAAAATCCTGCAAATCTCTTGGGAAGACAAGCAGACAAATGTCACCGTGCTGGAAGAAGCAAAGACCACCAGCATTGAAGTGATGGTCCTCTGCCATCAACTCCGCTGGACCGGCCACGTTGTCCAGATGCCAGACCACCGTCTCCCAAAGCAGTTGCTCTACTCCGAAATCAAGAACGGAAAACGGAATGTTGGTGGGCAGGAAAAGAGATTTAAAGATGGGCTCAAAGCCAACCTTAAAAACTCTGGCATTGACACTGAGAACTGGGAAGCCCTGGCCCTTGAGGGCTCCAGTTGGAGGTCAGCTGTGACCAGCAGTGCTGCAGAATTAGAAGAGGCATGAATGGAGGGTGAAAGAGAGAAACGTGCCGAGAGGAAGGTGCGCCAAGTCAACCCTGGGACGGCCTTCCACCTGGAAACCAATGCCCTCACTGTGCTAGAACATGTGGATCAAGAGTAGGGCTCCACACACCTATGGACCCACTGCCAAGAGACTACACTTGGTAGGCCACCATACTCAGACAACGAGGGATCACCTAAGTAAATCAGTAAATAAGTAATCCTGAAAATACGAAACTGCGAAAAATAGCGAGCCCTATTGAAATGAAGGGCTTCGGACCCAAATATACCATAAAGTCTCACTAGGAAATGCCTTTTTTGTTGGAGGAGGGTGAACGAAATGGTACTGTGTTGATTGCAACTTCCTCATTGTGATTTTCAGCTGGGACGAATAGAAAACTTGGACACAATAATCCAGCTTTTGTATTTTTGGGAGGGACAGGAATCGGGAAAAAGTCTCGGGTGCTGCCCATGGATACTTCATGTTATGAGAGCCCTTACAGCGATCCTGAAGAACTCAAGGATCGGAAATTGTTCCTAAAGAGGAGCAACTTGATGGTTGACGAAGTCGAATTGGGGTCTGGCAACTTCGGGAGTGTCCGGAAAGGAGTTTACAAGATGCGGAAGTAAGTGTCAATTTTATTCCTATTGTTGTTGTTGCTGTTGTTGTTGTTGAATTTCAACAGGGAGAAAGGTAAGGCACTCTATTAAGTAGAAACAATAAATTGCAGAGATATAGAATGGGTTGGCAACAGTCCAGGTAAAAGGGATTTAGCATTCTTAGTCGACCCCAAACTGAACATGAGCGGTGGCGAAAAAGGACAATGCAATCCTAAGCTGTATCAATATAAATCTACTGTCTATTATTGAGGGAAGTCGTAGTGTTGTTGAGCCACCACACACCCCTGTCTGGACTGACAAAAGAATCCACAAACATACATACACACACGGACGCACGCACACAAACACATATCTTTAAATCTTTTCCTCTTTATTATTTATTATTTATTTATTTCCAGCATTTCTACCCCGTCCTTCTCAACCTCCAAAGGGGGACTCGGGGCGGCTTACAATGGCAGCAATTCGATGCCAACAACATACAACACATTACGTACAACATTATACAAAAGATAAAACAGTAGATTAAAATACATTTAAAACATTATTGTTTTCATGTAGCTGAATCAAAGTCTGATTTAACAACCGACGACCCAGTCCAAAGCCCGTCATTGTCAAAATTCCAACATTATGATTACTGCCAAACCTACTGTCCAAAGGCCTGGTCCCAAAACCATGTTTTGAGCTTCTTTCTAAAAGAGAGGAGGAATAGAGCTGACCTAATCTCACTAGGGAGAGCATTCCACAGGCGGGGGACCACCACTGAGAAGGCCCCATCCCTCATCCTCGCCAAACACACTTGCGAAGAGGGTGGGACCAAGAGCAGGGCCTCCCCAGTCGATCTTAAATTTATCAAAGTTCTGATATAACGAATCCGCTGAAAGCCAAGGGAGAACCTAGCAGCAACTGTACCCCGAACGTTATCAAACTAAATCCTTTTGTAAATGTACTGAATGATATTTTTGGTGTAAGCTTTATTGCTTGTGTACTGTATTAATTCATAAGTATATAACGCTAAAATCAAATCTATTGTGAAGGCATCTGTTTCCCCCAAGTCCCCTCTAGTAGCATAAACCCCTGGAGATCACTGAGCTATCAGGAAATATCCCTCCCGCAATCTCCCAGATTGGGAACTGTAATCCCTTTTGGGTATAGGTGAAAGGCAGACAATCCCTTTATCAATGGGGCTTTGACAGCTATTCAGACTTCCCACGCCTCCCCCTGATTGGTTGAAAAAGTGATGCAAGTACCAGATATGCTTCCATGGCTTATGGCTCCCATGGAAGACAAGGCTAAAAGAAAGATGAATAAATTAGCCTTCTGAAGGAACACCAAAGTCTCTGGATATCTAACATTGTCATATTTTGTCTTCCGTGCCTTGCACTTTTGTCTTTTTGGAACTGGACACTTAAGTTAATCAACAGATCATCTGCATACCCATGTCATCATCTTCTTTGGTTTCACGCCCTTCACAGGGGTGTCTCTGCAATGGACTCAGGCATGAAGCCGGGGGGGGGGGGGGGGCTTGAGGGCTTCAGCCCCCCCCCCCCCGAAATTCTCAGGGTGGTCCATGAGAAGGCCTTACTGGTGCATTATTTAAACTGTTATGTTTATTCATATCATGATCTGATCACCATACTCAATATATCCCATATGCATGGGGGTATTGGGGTAATGATACAACAGGTTTGCTAGGCTAGACCCTCTTTCACTCAGACTCAGCCCCCCCCGAAACTCAGCCCCCGAACCTTCCCCTGAAAAAAAATCAGCCCCCCCCCCGAATCGAAATCCTGGCTACGGGCCTGATTATGGACTGGACCTTTAAACTCTCCAATCCCCCCACCTATGATAGGGTAAAAGCAGTGGTTCTCAACCTGTGGGTCCCCAGGTGTTTTGGCCTACAATTCCCAGAAATCCCAGCCAGTTTACCAGCTGTTAGGATTTCTGGGAGTTGTAGGCCAAAACATCTGGGGACCCCAGGTTGAGAACCACTGCCCTAGACAATCATAGACCTGATCCTAGCTGGCAGGTTTCTCAGCCAATCAGGAGGAGGCATGAGAAGTCTGCATAATATTTTCCATACATTTTCAAGCAGTGACTTGGTACTTGCATCCCTTTCTCAACCAATCAGAGGGAGGCATGAGAAGTTTGAATAGCTGTCAAAACTGTATTAAATGTCTTGTATTTTTCTGTGAAGGTATGCTTGTACATTTTCAAATGGTGAGTTGGTACTTCCATCCCTTTTGGCCAGATTGCAATAAACCTCTGTCTTTTACCTTCAAACTCAGAGTGCATTGCTCTCTGTCCTGGCCGATCTGGTTTAGCAGAAGGTCAACAAGCACAGACCCCTTCTCCACAGTTCTAGCTGAAATCACTACAATAGTGTTGTGAATAGGATCAGTAGACCCTTTCCAAAATTCATGAGTCCAAAGTGTGATGCAGAAGAGATAAAGGTTAACGCGATTCTAGGCTGCATCAGTGTCTCAATCAAGGGAAGTCATAGTCTATAAGACTGTGCTCCATGTCCTCCTTCCTCAGGCGGCACATCGACGTGGCTATAAAGATGCTGAAAAGTGGCAACGAGAAGGCGGACCACGATGACATGATGAAGGAGGCCCAGATCATGCACCAGCTCGACAACCCTTACATCGTCCGTGTGATTGGCGTCTGTGAGGCGGAGGCTCTCATGCTGGTGATGGAGATGGCCTCCGGAGGGCCCCTCAACAAGTACTTGTATGCCAAAAGGTGAGAGATTATCCCTTGAAAACAGGGATCTATGAGTCTCAATGGACCACAAACTGAGTGTGGTACAAGAGTGTGATGCCACAGCAGACAAGGCTAATGTGATCCTAGGCTGCATCAAGAGGAGACTAGTGTCTAAATCGAGAGAAGTCATAGACCTTGCTTGGAATAAGTCTGTGTCCAGTTCTGGAATTTAAGAAGAATATGGAACACATAGAAAGCCTCCAGACCAAAATAGTCAAAAGGTCTGGAAGCTATATACCGTATATCCTTATTAGGGAGCTGCAACTGCTTAGCTTGGAGAACAAAAGGTTAAGAGGAGATATAAGAACCAATATTTGAAAGGATGTCATAGTGAGGAAGCAGAAAGCTTGTTTCTTCTGCTTTGAAGACTAGGACACAATAGGGCCACAGATTCAAATTCATCAAAAATTAGGAAGAATGTTATGGTTACAGAAAAGAGAGTCCACCAAAACATTAGGTAGAACTTCCTGATGGTAAAAACTGTGTGACCATAGAATAGATTGCCTTGGATAGTGTTGGATGTCTTCTTCTTTGGGAGGTTTTAAAGGTCGGAAGAGCTCAGATTGTTAGGAATGGGGTTGCTTTCAACCTTTTGCCTTCTGTGCCTTGCACTTTTGTCTTTTTCAGAACTGGACACTTTAGTCAATCAACAGATCAGCTGCATACCCATGTTACCATCTTCCAACATCATCTTACATGTCTCTTCCAACTCTAAAATTCTATGACTCCAGGTGCCATCTCTGGCCAAAGCAATGACAGCATTCTCTCTCCCTTTTTTCAGGGAGGAGGTCTCCGTGAACAATGTGGTGGAATTGATGCATCAGGTGGCCATCGGGATGAAATACCTGGAAGAGAAGAACTTCGTCCATCGGGACCTGGCAGCTCGCAACGTCTTGCTGGTCCACCAGCACTATGCTAAGATCAGTGATTTTGGCCTCTCCAAGGCGTTGGCAGCCGACGACAGTTACTACATGGTGAGCAAGAGTTGGAAAGGACCCCCAAAGGCCATTCAGTCCAGCCCCCATTCTGCCAGACAGGACAACACAATCATACCCCCCCCCCACCCAACAGATAGCCATCCTTATAATGCACCTCCACAATGCCTTCCTGTTATGTGACACAATGGCTGGTTCTATTGACCAAATGACTCCAGGTCAAGATGATTGGTTCCTTTGTGTTGACAGTTTCTATCTATCTATCTATCTATCTATCTATCTATCTATCTATCTCTATCTATCTATCTATCTATCTATCTATCTATCTAGGCTAAGACTACGGGAAAATGGCCCCTGAAGTGGTATGCACCCGAATGCATCCTCTTCCGGAAGTTTTCCAGCAAAGGCGATGTCTGGAGTTATGGGGTGACCATGTGGGAAGCGTTCAGCTATGGACAGAAACCATACAAGGTAAGATGCGATTTCTCCATTTCATCTTACATCTCAATCCATATATATCCCTTTAGATGTTTATTGGAAGACAGAGAGATTTATTTATTTACTTACTTACTTTATTTCTATACCGCTTTTCTCAGCCCTCAGGCGACTCAAAGCGGTGAACAACATCAGTACAAAATATCACAAAACAAGTATAGGGCAATTAAAAACAATTATCATATAAATCATTAACATCAGTATAACAATCATTAGCGCCTCAACAGTAAAATCAGAATCCAGTCTCGTCATCCATTATTCCGTATTCCTATGTTCAATTACACTGTTTAATCAAATGCTTGTTTGAACAGCCAGGTCTTCACTTTCCTCCGAAACGCCAGCAGGGAGGGGGCCAATCTGATATCTGCAGGCAGGGCGTTCCACAGCCAAGGGGCCACCACTGAGAAGGCCCTGTCTCTCGTCCCCGCCAAGTGCACCTGTGATGCAGGCGGGACTGAGAGCAGCCCCCCCCCCCCCAGATGATCTTAGTGTCCTAGTCGGTTCATAGGAGGAGATGCTTTCGGAGAGGTAAGTAGGGCCAGAACCGTTTAGGGCTTTATAGGCTAAAGCCAGTACTTTGAATTGTGCCTGGTAGCAAACTGGTAGCCAGTGGAGCTGGCGCAACAAAGGAGTAGTATGCTCCCTGAGTGCCGCTCCTGTTAGCAACCTGGCTGCCGAGCGCTGGACCATTTGAAGCTTCCGAGCAGTCTTCAAAGGCAACCCCATGTAGAAAGCGTTGCAGTAGTCTATGCGGGATGTAACCAGAGCGTGGACTACCGTGGTCAAGTCAGATAGGGAGATATATCTACCCATCCAAGTACAGGCAGTCCCAGAGTTACAAACATCCGACTTACAAATGATTCATACTTAAGAACAAAGCTGAGACAACAGGAAGTGAGAGAAATTGCCCTCAGAAGGGAAATTCTCTCCTGGAAGAAACCTGCAGAGCCTATCTTGTTTGTAACTTGAGGACTGCCTGTAATTATTGGAAGACAGTGAGAGACAGGGTATAGACAGATAGTTATAGGTACATTTATATTATATTATATTATATTATATTATATTATATTATATTATATTATATTATATTATATTATATTATATTATGTTATATTATACGTAACTGTAGAAAATAAAGCTGGAAGCTGCTTATTGTCTTGCTTGGTATTTCTTGTTCTTTCCTAACAGTCCATCTTGTTTTGCTACCTTCCTTTTTATGAATAATGACTTGATTCAAGCAAGAAACCAGATCCTATATGAACCATCTCTTTCTCTCCCTTGCCTTCTTTTCTCACAGAAAATGAAGGGTCCCGAAGTTGTGACATACATTGAGGAAGGGAAGCGGATGGAATGCCCCCCCAAGTGTCCCCCGGAGATGTACAAACTGATGAACCAATGCTGGACATTCAAGTAAGAGAGGAGATAATAATAATGATAATGATAACAATAATAATACATTTAATTTATATTCTGTGGTTCTCCCCTAAAGGACTCACAGCGGATTTCAGTATTTACGTACATAGGCAAACATTCAGTGCCGTTACAATCATATACAATAAGACACAAACACAAACAAAGGCAGAGGCTTCTCCTTTCATTTCCGGCTTCTGGAGGCAGTACTCATCTCTGGCTCTGAGGAGGTGCTTTTCTCCATTTTCAAGCTCAGGAGCCTATCTTGTCGCCTCCTGGTTGTGTGACTGGCAAGATCACTTGGAGCGTCTCTTTGCCTTTTCCCGCCAAAGTGGTACCTATTTATCTACTCACATTTGCATGTTTTTGAACTGCTAGGTTGGCAGGAGCTGGAGTTGATAGACAAGGGCTCATCCTGTTGCACAGATTCCAACTGCCAACCTTCAGGTCAGCAATTCAGCAGCACAAGGGTTTAATCCATTACGCTACTGCGGCCAAGATCATCTGGCTACATGGCTACATTCTTGCCTGTGAGGCTGAGAGAGTGTGAACCAGTTGGGGTTCATGTCTCTGGTATGAGAGGAGGTTTATGGTTAGCCCTGCCTTCCTCCTAGAGTTCCTCTACACCGTGGAATTAATGGAGTTTGATGCCATTTTTGTGGGTTTCTGGAAGTTGTAGTTTTTACTCTTGGGCCTTTCAAACTACAGCTTCCACTGAAAGGGCTAGGAATGACGTAGTAGCAGGGGAGGCTCGTCCATTACGCAAAGTAAGCGGTTGCGGTACACTTTTTTTTTTGCCAGGGGCACAGAGGTGCCTCTGTAAATGCCCCTCGACCACCACTTGAGGAGCGCCCCCTTGGCTCACAACAGCCCTAGCAGTCCGGGGGGGGGGGGGGAGCCTCGGCTTCCTTGTCTCACTGCCGGGCGATCTTCTTCCCGAAGGGGCCGGGCCCTTGAGCCTTGCCTAGCCCCTCTCGTTCCTGCTCCATATCAATGATTAGCTGGGGGGGGGGGGGGGCTGCCAAAATACTGTTTGCTTACCATTGAAAATTACCTAGGGCCACCTCTGGGTAGTGGTGCAAAATTAACAGCCAAAGCAGAGAGTTCAGACAAGGGGAAAAGTTCAACAGGGAAATGCCTAGTAAAAGGCAGGTGCAGAAGGGGGGAGATGCAGGAGGGGGAATTGGCTGCTGAGAAAAGGAGGCACGTGAATATTTAAAATGTCTGGCACCAAAAGGAAACAAAAGAAAGAGATAGATATGAGGCACAAATGGGAGAAAAAAGCCTGAAAATAGTCTGTACATTGACTATAAATCTGAGCTGCATCTCGGTTTTGTGTGGCACATTCCATTATTCACCCAGCAGGGTGATTTGATCAAGTAAACATATTGTACAATCTCCTTGCTTGCAGTGTTTGGTTGGATAAAGAGACCCTGGAGGTTTTTGGGCTATTTGATAATAGAGGGACATGGCAGCGCTTCCTAACACCACAGTTCCAAAGTATTGAACCACAGCAGTTCAAATGTGTTAATTCAAAAGTGTGGATATACCCTAAGAGACTCAAAGCCATCCTAAAAGTGGGATTCAAACCCTAAAGGTCTCCCTACTTCTAGCCACTCTACCCAATCCCAATGGGAATATTCTTGTTTTATATTCCCATGCCAATAAAAAAAAAGAATTTTCTCACTGGAGATTAGACTGTTCTCCAATTTCATTGTGCCCTCTTTGTTTCTCTGAAGGTGGGAAGACCGTCCAGATTTTGCCACAGTGGAGACGCTGATCCGGACCTATTACTATAGCATCGCTGATAAGACGGAGGAAAAACCAGAGGAACGGGTTAAAACCACACGTGCTTAGCTTTGGAAATGAACAGATGACACACACACACTCTTCCTTTGGCACGCTCAGCCTTTTGGAGTGGATGAATTGCTCCGGATTGGGAAGAACAATGGTTGGTTCAAAAGCCGAGAGTCTCCTCCTCCTCCTCCTCCTCCTCTCCTAATCCAAAATCCTCCTAAATTTTTCCAGTGCTCCAATATATCCAAAAAGTATACTTTGATGTACCCCAAAAGTATTAAAAATGACCTTCAAGCTATATGAACATGAAATATCAATGAATTTCGAGTTTAGACTTGGGTCCCATCTCCAAGATATCTCATGGGGTCCAAAATCTAAAATATGGAAGACTTCGGGGGCTAAGCATTTCAGATTATAATATGTATGATATTAATTTCCCCCCAAAATTCAAGAATTTGGGATAAGGAATATTCATTTGAAAAGACCCCAAATTCATGGATTTTGGAGAAGGGAAACTCAGCCTGTATTAATACTGTATCGAACACACAAACAAGAGTTCAAAATCCTATAGAGCTTCAGTACAAGTACTTGCCGACAAAGTTATGTTACTGTAGAACTAATGTAGTTTGACGCCACTATGGTTCATTGCTATGGGATCCTGGGAGTTGTAGTTTGCACTCTTTGGCGGAGAAGGAGAAACTACCATTCTGAGCACCAAAATTGAAGGGAGATATTAACTCTAAGCAGGAATGTGTTCAGAGAAGGGCAACTCAAAGGATCAAGAGTCTGGAGAACAAGACCTATGAGGAGCAGCTTAAATTGCTGGGCATGTTTAGCCTGAAGAAGGCTGAGAGAGACATGATGAGGGCCAGGGATCAAGATGTGAGAGGAAGTCTTAAGGAGGAGGGAGCAAACTTGTTTTCTGCTGCCCTGGAGACTAGGATGCGGAACAATGGCTTCAAACTATAAGAAAGAAAGGAGATTCCACCTGAACATGAGGAAGAACTTCCTAACTGGGGGAGCTGTTCAGCAGTGGGACTCTCTCTCTCTCTGCCCCAGAGTGTGGTGGAGGCTCCTTCTTTGGAGGGTTTGAAACAGAGGCTGGGTGGCCATCTGTCAGGGGTGCTTTGAAGGCGATTTTCTTGCTTCTTGGCAGAATGGGGTTGGACTGGATGGCCCATGAGGTCTCTTCTAATTATTTGATTCTATGATTTTCTCCTTTATATTTTTTTATGTGCCCATAAGTCTAAGTCAAACTCAATGTATAAGTCGAAGGCAGATTGGGGAAACAAAATGAGTCACCTTTCGCCACTCAGAGAAAGGGATAGTTCCTTTTTATATATATAAGAGTTAAGATGCAGTATTTACATTGACATTTCATATACACCTTATACACATAGCCTGACGACCGTTGCACATGTATATTAAGCTACTAGAAAGCAATTTTGTAATATTTCGGGATAAGGGATATGTGGAGAGCAATAAACACATTTGAAATGTAGAGGAGAGCCATCATTTGCAGTTGATGGTCAGTGACAACAAAAACAACAACAATCTCAGGTCTGCCCAAACACACTGGTTTTATTTCTAGATCCTTTCCCCGACCCTTTCAACGCCAGAAGCGAAGAACGGTGTAGCCCCAGTTTCAACACCAGAAACGAGGAACGGTTAGCCCCAGTCTCAGTAGCATTTCCTGTGGACGATGTATGGGCCGTGCTCGTTGTACTGTTCTCTCTTGACCCAACATGACTGGAAGTTTTTCAGGGAGGCCAGGACGGATCCTCCGGTCCAGACGGAGTACTGCCGCAATGGAATGGCAGCCACTTTCACTTTGGTATTGGTGGTCACACCGGTCATGATGTCGTGCGTGAACCTCTTTTCCAAGCCTTCGAAGAGGGACGAGCCGCCGCACAAGAGGATGTTCTCGTACATGTCCTTCTTGACCTCTTCAGGGACCTTCCTCAAGCTCCGTAGGGCCATGCCGTGAATGCCCACTTGAGAAAGCCCCGGAGCCTGCGGTGGGTGGAACAGCAGCTCTGGACACTGGAACCGCTCTTTCCCCAAATTGATGACCTGACCATCAGGCAGGTGGTAGTCCGCCGAGTATTCTCGCTTGGGGTGGCTCCATTCAGCCTCAAAATCAAGAGCAACATAACAGCACTTGCGCTTGATGTCTTCAACAACAGCCAACATCCGGTCGTCGAAGTAGTACCCCTTGTCCTTCAGGAGGTCCATCAAAAAGCATGTTATGTTGCTCCCGGCGACATCCATCCTTTCTGTCGCATGCGGGAGGTTGTAGCCTTGGTGGACAGGCACCGTGTGGGTCGTGGCATAGCCCGTGTCGACCACCAACCCACTGATCTTGCCGTGGGCGTAGACAGACAGCACTGACTGGTAGGCCACGTACATGGCCGGGGAGTTGAGCGACTCAAAGACCACCTCCACCAGCTTCTCTCGGTTGGTGGTTGGACACAGTGGAGGGTCGGACATGAGGAGCGCGTGTTCTTCTGGAAAGGTGTTCAGCTGAGTCAAGAGATGTCTCCAAAGGGTCTCAGCAGCCTCCCAATCAATGATAATGCCATGTCTCACTGGTAAACTGATATTGAGATCGGGTTCCAACCGGGCTTGCTGTCCCACAAATGTATCTGGCCTGCTTCTTCGAGACCTCATCGACCTCTCCGTTGGGTATCCAACCAGCGTCCCGACGGATACTTGCGGGGTCTGTTGACCCGCGAACCCAGCTTTACATGTCCCGGTCCCGGTATCGATGACCACTGCTCCTGTCTTGGTAACCGCACGCCCTCGTTCGGGAGTCCTGGACCTGGACCTCGCTGAGGATCTTTCTCTAGAAGAGGCCCGCGATCCAGAAGGCCGGTCCAAGCCATGTCCAGGGGAAGGTGTCCTCGTCCTCATACGTCCAGGGCTTCCCGATCGGGACCTAGGACTCTTGGAGCGTGAGCTCCCTGTGCTTTTGGCCCGTGGAGGGCCGGGACTGCCTCTGGATGACATGTCTTTTCAAGGGGGATCCCCGGGCCGCTACCCACAAGCCAACCTGTGAGTGGCAGCAACAGAGTGGAGAGAGAGGAGCAATGAGGAGGAGCTTGTGGCCACTCAGCTTGGCATCACAAAGGAGAGCTATGACCTCACATCAGGGGCAAAGCTAAGAGTCACCAAGGGCAGGGAGTGGTTAGCCTTCCTTCATCTCCTGCCAACACTCTCTGGATTTAACACACTCCATGGGAGACAATAGGCAGAATCTCAGAACCTTACGGATGGATGGAACCTACCATTGTTCAAAGACGGTGGCCTTATGGGGCCACATGTAGGGATTGCGAGCCCAATGGGAAGTCCTGGTATCATGAGAATGCCTCTCCTACAGGGTCATCCCTGGTTAGGATTTGGATGGGAGTTCACCAAGGAATCCCAGGTGCCTTAGAATGTATTTATAATATTTACATTATAATATTATATAATACTAATAATAATATGATATAATAATTGCATATTATATATTACATGTAATATTACTAACAATATTGCAGTATAGTGGTCTGGTAAAATATAGTAATATATAATACTAATATTGTGCTAAGCTAATAATTATAATATATTGTATGTACATATAATATTGATCATAATATTGTAATACAATATAATGCTAATAACACAATATAATAATTATATATTTTATATTACATGTAATATTACTAATAATATTGTAGTATAGTGGTAGATTACAATATAGTCATATATAATGCTAATATTGTGCTATGCTAATAACATAATATATTGTATGTACACATAACTTGTTAGCCGCTCGGAGTCCCCTTTGGGGTGAGAAGGGCGGGATATAAATGCTGTAAATAATAAATAAATATTTCAGAGAGAGGAAGAAATTGCCTAAACTGCCTCTGAGCCTTCCTTGTCTAAGAAAATCCTATGAAATCCATAAGCGACAGGTGACTTGAAGGCCCCGGGTCAGATCTGGCCCTCCAAGCTATTTATATGACCCTCAATTCTTACTGAGTCTTTGATCCATCCACTTTTATTCCATTTTAGGGTTGATATGCCTCTTCTGGAGGAATCCACCAGTGGCAATTCCCCTTCATCGTTGAACATTTATATTTAAAAGGATTTGAAATGGAAATATAGGCACAAGCATGGGTTCCTTTGTTCCCTTTTCCCATCAAACGGTGGTCAATGGAGGCATCACTTCTCATTTTTTGCATATTTGAATTTATTGATCATCGTAAGCAATCTCGAACCTTTTAAATACAGGTACAAAAATAAAAGACAAATCATCCACAAATCCCTGACATATTTTCATGGAAATCGGATCCTATGCTACACTGTAAATCTGGGAGTTCCTGGAAGAGGAGGAATGGTTTCATTTTGAGAAGAAGAGTAGATTTTTAAATTAAATCCAGAATCAAACGCAGTGTGTTTTGGTGACCGCGACAAAGAAATAAATGGGTCTATGGAAAATCTAAAGTGCACTAGTGTTAGAACCAGAGTGAAGGAAGTAACTTATTTTTTTTCTAACTAGTTCTTTTGGCAAATGAAAACAAAGTGCAATCTCTGAACTGGCCACTTGGGGGCAATGACAGAAAGCCTTTTCCTGCATTTCCCCCCAATGGTACAATAGTAATTAAATGACTTGGGTGTACACAGTGATGAACAAATTAACTAGTTCCTTTTCATTATCACAACTTATTGCAAAATTACTTATTTATAATGAGTAACTGGACTACAATGACTTGTAAATGAACCAGTGGGTGATCAGAGTGATTGAATAAAGTAACTAGTTTCTTGCTTTAAGTTACATTCCATGCTCTGGCGAGAATTACTTCAATTGTTTTCCCTTTCATAGAGGAACGCTTGTAAACTCAACACTGATTTAAAGTCAAGGAAGGGGCGGGGGCCTGGTTTTATGTGAAAGGGGTGTGGCCAGAGGAAGAAGGGGATTCCCTGCTATTCTGAATTGGTTCTCTGCCCCTGAATTAAGCAAAATAAAATAGAGTCGCAACCAACAACCTGACCCATCATCCCAAATCTTCTAAAGCACATACAGTCCTATTGCGCTCCATGCCACATTTGCCCAAGAATCCAAATCTCCAGCAGTGATTGGTTCTTTAAGAGTCCACATCATCTGCTGCTGGGCAAATCAGGGTTCAGTGCAGGGAAGGGAGTGAGTGATGGCAAAGTGGTGGTGATCATAGGGGTGAATTTTGTGAAACAGGAAACGGTCTTTGGAGGGCTGTACGGTGGAGCCGAAATGTCCAAAATCGATTTCATCGGCCTTTCCTCATCTCCAGGTGTGGGAAGTAGATGCCGAGAATGTTCTGCTGGACTTGGTATTTGCCTGCTCTTCTTCTCGCCTAGAAAAGAATTATTATTATTATTATTATTATTATTATTATTATTATTATTATTAGAAACACAAGATGAGTCCACAGCAGATAAGATCACTCTGCTGGCTGTAGTATTGGATCACACGTCAGACACTTCCCAAGTATTACTATTACTATTATTATTATTATTATTATTATTATTATTATTATTATTAGCCGTCCCCTGCCACGTGTTGCTGTGGCCCACATGGGGGTTCTGTGTGGGAGGTTTGGCCCAATTCTATCGTTGGCGGGGTTCAGAATGCTCTGTGATTGTAGGTGAACTATAAATCCCAGCAACTACAACTCCCAAATGTCAAGATTCTATTTTCCCCAAACTCCACCAGTGTTCACATTTGGGCATATTGAGTATTCGTATAGAGTTTGGTCCAGATCCATCATTGTTTGAGTCCACAGTGATCTCTGGATGTAGGTGAACTACAACTCCAAAACCAAAGGACACTGCCCACCAAACCCTTCCAGTATTTTCTGTTGGTCATGGGAGAACTGTGTGCCAAGTTTGGTTCAATTCCATCGTTGGTGGGGTTCAGAATGCTCTTTGATTATAAGTGAACTATAAATCCCAGCAACTACAACTCCCAAATGACAAAATCTATTTTTTTTAGTGAAGGACATACATTGGGTTGTTAGGTGTCTTGTGTCCAAATTTGGTGTCAATTCGTCCAGTGGTTTTTGGGTTATGTTAATCCCACAAACGAACATTACATTTTTATTTATACAGATTATTATTGTTATTATTGTTATTGTATTGTCGAAGGCTTTCATGGCTGGAATCACTAGGTTCTTGTGGGTTTTTTCGGGCTATAGGGCCATGTTCTAGAGGCATTTATCCTTCATAAAAAACTCTAAAATTACAACAGCAAAACAGCAGAGAGGAAACAACCAGGCACATCTTAACACCTCTCAACAAAAGTTTTTCCCAGGCTCAGCCAGGCCTTCAAATGCTAATGAAGGTGATCAGTTGAAACATTCACACCTAGCTCCAGCAGAGAAGAGCTCTTTGCCCCACCCCACCCATTCCACAGATATATAAACCCATTGTCCTAATTCCAACAGACCTCACTACCTCTGAGGATGCTTGCCATAGATGCAGGCGAAACGTCAGAAGAAATGCCTCTAGAACATGGCCCTATAGCCCGAAAAAGCCCACAAGAACCTATTATTGTTATTATTTCTATTGCTACTGTAAGCCTCATTGCATCCCAATGAAAATAAATGCAAATAAATATGACAACAACTTTTGTGAACTTACCAAGAAACACAGGAGGAAGAGCAAGATGAAGGCCAGTAGGACAGATAAACAAATGAGGATAATTGCCCAGAAAGGAAGCTCTGGAAAAAAATGAATCAATTCTCAATAATCACGTCATATTGGAAAATCCATAACCTATTGGATATAACTGCACCATAACCTTATTGAAAAGGTAAAAATGATGTCACATCCGTTTGGCAATGTGAATCTCCATAAACATGTGGAGACCACCATTTTTTTTTTGAAAACCACTAGTGAAGAAGAGCAAATATATACATTGACAAACAAATAGTGAAAGGCTTGGGAGGTTGCTATTTCCAACACGTCACCAGGGTTTAAGATTTCACTCACAATGTTATACTTGGGGGTGCGGCTGGGTGATGAAAATAAAAAAAAAATGGAGCAATATACACTCCAAAATATATTTGGGATGAGAGAGGGGTAGCTATAAGGAGTCAAAGAAGAATATTTTCCCCAAATATGAATTCTGACACCGCAATGAGATATCTGACACCCTTTTGTTGCCAAATTTCTAGTATTGTGAAGTGATAATCAAAACGCTTTGCATATTCAGAGCAGCAAAATACAAAAGGAATCCCAAATCCACAAAATGAAGATGCCCTATGAGCCGTACGTAGCCATGGAGGGGAACGTTCCAACACACACAACCCTGAATATTCACTGAATGGGTTATATCAGGAGCCCGCCTCCCCAAACCATCTCAATTTAGTGACAAAATGCCCCCCAAAACCATAGTTACCTTCCCTGGGGGATATTGGGATCGCTTCTGTTGGGTAGCCTGGAAAGAAATAGGAGAGGGATAAGGACTATTGCAGGTGGAATGCCCATTGTGGCATAAATGCCCTTTGATGCTCTCCAAATATGATGTTCTCCAAAGATTATTTGTTTGTTTATTTATTTATTTCGCGTATTTCTACCCTGCCCTTCTCAACCCTCGAGGGGGGACTCAGGGCGGCTCACAAAAGGCACAATTCAATGCCTACACAATAGTACAAATAAGCATATATAAACAGCAATTAAAACAGTTATAAACAGTTAAAACAATCAGTTACATATCACAATCAATAAAGCCAATCTCATGCTCAACGTTCGCCAACTCAGAATTCATAAATTCATTCCATATTGTCAATTCCTATCAGTTCTAGTCGTCATTGTCCTTTATCTGTCTGCCAGATTACCCAAACGCCTGGTCCCAAATCCATGTTTTTAATTTCCTTCTAAAGGAAAGGAGGGATGTCGAAGACCTAATTTCCCCGAGGAGTGAATTCCACAGGTGAGGGGCCACCACCGAGAAGGCCCTGCTCCTCGTCCCCGCCAATCTCACTTGTGATAGAGGCGGGGCCGAGAGCAGGGCCTCCCCAGAAGATCTTAAACTCCGAGGCGGGATGTAGAGGGAGATGCGTTCGGACAGATACGCTCGGCCGGAGCCGTATAGGGTTTTGTAGGTCAAAACCAGCACTTTGAATTGTGCTCGGAACTGGATCGGCAGCCAGTGCAGCTGACATAACAGAGGGGTGGTATGCTCCCTGTATGACGCTCTGGTGAGTAATCTGGCTGCCGCCCGCTGGACTAATTGAAGTTTCCGAACAGTCTTCAAAGGCAACCCCACGTAGAGTGCGTTGCAGTAATCCATTCGGGATGTAACAAGAGCGTGGACCACTGTGGCCAGATCTGACTTCCCAAGGTATGGGCGCAACTGGCGCACAAGTTTTAATTGCCCATTGATGTTCTTCAAATATGATGTTCTCCAAACATCATAACCATTGATGTTCTCCAAACATAATGCCCATTGATGTTCTTCAAATATGGTGTTCTCCAATTATGATGTCCTCCAAACATGTTCCCCAAAACCTTACCGTTCACCAGTAAGCTCCGGTCATCCAGCATGTATCTCCCTAAGGTCGAACCCTTGCCGGTGAGGTTCTTAAAGATGTTATAGACCAGGCTTCTGTCGAAGGGCCTCTGACCATTATCCTTTGTGAACATACAGATGGAATTGACCCCTGTTTGGTTTCTCCAGCTGGTCGGCCTGCAGAACAAAAAATATACTAATAATTGAGGTTTTGGGTAGTCAACCACCGACTTCAAGCAGGGGAAGGCTAGGAGGCCATATTATTGGCCTAAAAAGCTCATTTTTTCCCCTCTTGGATCAGGCTTTGCTGTCTTAACAGCTTTTGACCACGCTCTGATATTGCTCCTCATCCATGTCCCGGTTTGTACCAGAAACACTGGAAGATATGAACTCACCTGAAGTTTTCTACAAAGCAAGCCATGAAATTAGCACCCAGGTTGCTGCGTTGGTAGAGCTTGTCAAGCTGGAAAAAAAAAAAGGAAGGAGGAATCCATATTTATTCATTTGTTGTATTTGTATGCCACTTTTCTCTGAAGAAACCTCAAAGGAAACATGGAAGAAGGAGACTTATATGTTCTTCAAATGGGATGGAACACTCTGGGCAAACTTAATTCCGCTTTGAGGACCATAACAACTCCAAAAAAGATGGACTCTCAAAGGGCTTCCTTTAATAATAATAATAATAATAATAATAATAATAATACTTTATTTATGTTCTCCTCTAGAAACCTTACCAAAATGTATAACTTTTTCTTCTTGCCTTGAAGCCCTGGTTCTGCTTGAATCTTCACCCACCAGCACTATAAGTTCCTGCACTATGTTTTCTCAAGACCTTGGGGTTTGCTTCTTAACAGTTAGACCAGGCAACTTCTTGGCTGGCAACTCACCTCTTGTTCAACGCTTCCTTTGGCGTTCCGATAGACGCCCGAGTTTGGGTTCCTCATCTCCTCCTTGTATGGGAGGTTAATGATGGTGAAGTTGACGGTGAAGGTCTCTAGGTCTAGTGCCAGCAAGGAGATGTCCGTCACGGCTTCTATTGCTGGGTCAATCGCTGAAGAAGTAAGGCAGAAGCAATGCTTAGGCTCTTAAATTCCTCTCACATCCATTGGGCTTAGCCTCATCTTACCAAATATCTATAGGCTGAGCATCCCTGATGTGAAATGCTGGAGACTAGAAGCGTTTTGGATTTCTTTCCCCCTGGATTTTGGAGTGTTTGCTTCTACATCATGAGCTATCTTGGAGAGGGAACCCAAGTCTAAACATGGCATTTATTTAGGCTTCACACGCAAGTTAGATACATTGATTCTATGATTGCCAGAAGGTCATTTCATCGTTGACGTTGTGTGTCTTCAAATAATCTCCAACATGTGGTGATCTCTCTGGCAGTTTTCTGTGTCCTCCAGCAACTATGGGAACTTCCAGTGTAAGCCATTCCTTTCAATAGGGTTTGCTATTACCTGTCATGGACCCCTCTGAACCTTCAAAGGGATGACTTCAGAGGAATCCATGCCATGGTTAGAAATTTACAACAGGCGGTTAAGTAGGGCCATCTGGAAATTTACAACAGGCAGTTAAGTAGGGCCATCTGGTGTTATCAAAGCTGAGAAAAGAGCTGGAGACATAACAATTGAAGTGTGATAGTGCTGGGGTTTAATGTAGATAGCAGAGCTATGCGATCCATTAAAAATGGTTCAAAAGTCATTACAAAACTGGGGGCGCTGGTGCTTCGTTTCTAAAGTGTTTCTAAAGTATACTAAGTGAAAATTCTGTTACTATGACGAGACTAACAAAATATCATTATTATTTCGTTACAGTAATTGCGCATAATTAAATAACTATAATTGGGGAAAATTCAAGGGCTCCCATCTCCCTCATTTTTACAGCTATTTGGGTAAAACTTGCTACAATGGTAGAACACATTGGCCACCATTAGTCCACCAAATTTCAGAATGTTTCTCTTTGCCCAATGGGCATGTCAATTTTAGGCAGGCTCCTGCAATCGTCAAACTTTCAAGCTGGAATGAAATAAAAACCTCGGTGGCTTCTCTTCAACTTGGTGAGATTTATTCTGGAATACTGGCTTCTTTTCTCACTAGGCAACCCAAATGGCTTGGATTTCTCTATCCAGAGCCACTCTAAACTGCTCAACAACAATTGGACCAAACTTCCCATACAGAACCCCCCTGCCTTGAAGGGACTCGCTGGCATGAGCCTCCTGCCACTCTTGCATCTCTCCCTCGTCCGCACATGTGCACCATGCTGCCATGCGCTGAACACACCTCCTCTCCTCTCTCTGCTTGGAGTCCCAAAAATAGACCCGCCCTTGACTGAGAGGCCAGCCAATCACAACAGAGGAGAGCTCTTGGTGGGAGGATTCATCCCCTGTTTCCAAAAAGGAAGAGAGATCTTCAGCCTTCTCTATCAAAGGTGTTCCTAAGACCATCACAAATATGTGTTTTCTGATGGTCTTTGATGACCCCTCTGAAACCCTCCCACAACTCCCTCCAGGGGTCCCAACCCCCAGGTTGAGAAACACTGCACTAGATCATCTGTATCGAACAGGATGCAGATCTGTCTAAGGAACTTTCTCTCCAACTTGAATTGATCTGGAGTAAATGAATCTTCTTCCAAACCTTTGCTGTGCACAGATTTTATCCTAGGAATCGGCAGTCCAGGACATTACCCACAGTTTCCTGTTGCCACAGTAAGTTCATATCACTGTGTTGGGACTCTAATAGCCGTAGGTCTGCGATTGGCCATTTCACATTGCTGCAAACGGACCTACCTCTCACGGTCACACCTTTGAGCTGGAACCGACTGCCCAGCCACTGGGACGTGGCATTTTGAGTCTCTTGTCTGAAGGTTTCTTTCATGGTCTCCTTGCTGGGGATCATGTCGGGGTCGAAATAACACTTGCAGTCAACCACAATTGAACCGTACCTGAAAGGGATTGGTTTAGGATCGGAACTCAGTACTTATTGTTTGGGGTTGAGGAGGATTTCTCACCGATTGGGATCCATCGTGAGAGTGAAGGGGAATGTGGCCCGCTCTTAATGGAACCCAAAAGCTGCTGTCCCACCCTCAAATATGTAGAAATTGGGTTGTAGGTTTTTTGGGGCTATATGGCCATGTTCTAGAGGCATTCTCTCCTGACGTTTCGCCTGCATCTATGGCAAGCATCCTCAGAGGTTGTGAGGATGCTTGCCATAGATGCAGGCGAAACATCAGGAGAGAATGCCTCTAGAACATGGCCATATAGCCCCCAAAAACATACAACCCAGTGATTTCAGCCATGAAAGCCTTCGACAATACATATGTAGAAATTCACCCTAAAGTAAGTACTGGCAACTACGAGGAGGGCCAGGGGCCAGTTTCCCTCCAGGCTTTTTACAAAGCAAGCCCAATATTATGCTGTATCTCAAAACAGTGACAGGAAGTGATGTTGAATCACTGCCTGTTGAGAGAGTATGGTTGCCAAAGGGCACCTTTCATGGGTGGCAAGGGAGTTGAGCCCTGCCACTGTCCAACCGTCAACCCATTACACCACACTCCTTACTGACCTCAGTCCTGTAATAACGCAGACTTTGAATCCGTTGCTGATGCTGCTCCGGCCGAAGATCTGGTTCACCTGCAATGGTTAAACAGATCCAATTAAATCCCTAATATCCTGGAGAACTCTTTGAAGACTTCCTATTGCTTCTGTACCTTGGAATATCAATCCCAAGAGATTCAGCACTCTAGAGAGCTTCTTGTACAACTCTTTCAGGGCTCATGACTCTGAGGAGCTCTTTTTCAGACTCCTTATTGCTTTGGCATTTTGGAGACCACCTTGGAATCTCTCTCTCTATAGGTTCAGCACTCCAGAGAGCTTCTTTTATGACTCTCTATTAGGGTTAAGTACCTTGGAGACTTCAATGAAATATCTCAAAAGGTACAACATCCTGATAGCTCTTTTACAAGTCTCTATTGGGGAGTCTTTGAGACCGCCTTGGACTACTTCTCTCAATAGTTTCATCACCCTAGATGGCTCTTTTGTGACTCTCTGTTGGGGTTCGACATCTTGGAAACTTCCTCTCCCAATAGGTTCATCACCCCAGAGAGCTTCTTTTATGACTCTCTATTAAATGCTTTGGAAACCACCTTGGGCTATCTATCAATAACTTCAGCATCTTAAAGACCTCTTTGGATTATCGCTCCCATTCATTCCAGCACTCACAAGAGCTCCTCGAAGTCAAGACCAAATATGGAAAGGATTCGGCTCCAGTAATACAAAACACAAAGAAAAACGGTCCTCACCTGGTCTTCGATGCTGGCCGCCAGGCGTTTGTATTCTGGAGATGATCTGTCTGTGTTGGTCAGATTTTCATTGATAATGGTGAAACCCAGTTCATAACCCACTCCTTCGGGAGTCAAGCTGGAAGGTGGGTATCCTGGAATGAATAAGAAACAGGCGATTGTACATTAATGGGTACCAGATTGGTTCTTCCTCCTCTTTCTGTTGGAAATAGCAACCTTCTACAAGCTTTCTATACTAGTTATTTCTTTTGTATAGCATTCAGATTGCTTACTGTATTGTATATATGTCTATTAGTATGCAGTTTTCCTTAACTCTATATTGTGGGAAGAGCTGCAGACCATGTGACCAGATCTGGGATTATTCAGGACTCAGATTCCATTTTAGAAACAGTATGCTTTCAGACATCAGTAGAAACAGAATGCTTTAGAGAACAGAGACTCCATTACACTCTCAGACAGGAGAGATGCTTTCCAGTGTTTCTCAACCTAATGCTGTGAACCCTTAATACAGTTCCTCATGTTGTGGTGACCCCCAATCACAACATTATTTTTATTGCTACTTCATAACTGTCATTTTGCTATGGTTATGAATCAAAATGTAAATATCTGATATGCAGGTTGTATTTTTATTTGCTGGACCAAATTTGGTAAAAATACCCAATATGCCTGAATTTGAATACTGGTGGGGTTGGGGAGGGTGGTTGATTTTGTCATTTGAGAGTTGTAGTTGCTGGAATTTAAAGTTCACCTACAATCAAAGAGCATTCTGAACTCCACCAACAATGGAAATGAACCAAATTTGGCACAAAAATTCCCACGACCAGCAGAAAATATTGGAAGGTTTTCGTGGGCATTGACCTTGAGTTTTGGAGGTGTCGTTTGCTTACATCCAGACAGCACTGTGGACCCAAACGATGATGGATCTGGTCCAAATTTGTGTTATCTACACAGAGAAACTATTTCAAATCCTATCTATAACTGGATTGATATGCAATGTACCTGTACGCTGAATGCATGAAGATCTGTGAGTAAACCAACTATGTTACCTTTAAAGAAGACTACTTATTTTTGCTCTCTTGAGAACAAGATTTAAACCAAGATGTTTTATGGGAGAGTAGATGTTTTTTGGGCAGCTGAAGAGAACACTTCTGAAACCTTGCTATATATGTGCGTGTGTTTTTGTGCATTGGTATATTTTTGATCCCAATATATCTAGATATATCAGTTTAACAGCTGACTAACCTAATTGCCTCGCATGAATACTAGTGGATATTTACCACTAAGGAGAAGGTTGACTCAAGCAAGTTTTTAACTCTTATCAGAAATATTCCTGGTTTTCCCAAAAGGTTTTGAATAGCCATTTTCCAAAAGGTTATGGAGATATCAATTTTCCCAAAAGGCTATGGCATCATTTTTCCAAAAGCTTCTTCAGCATCCTAATTTTTCCCCAGCAAAACTCAAGTCATGAAACTATATTTTCTCAAAAAGCGTTCCTGGGAACCTTACATTTTCAAAACAGGTCACTAGGAAATCCTTGGGGATCCTTTTGGACAAAACCAACCAAGAAACCCTGCAATGGGGTTTCAACAGCTATGGAGTCAGAAAATTACACAGAACATGATCTGGGATCTCAGCCAGAGTAGTTTCCCTTCTTTCTTTGGATTCCTTGTTGGTTGGACAAACAACTACCACATCAAACGGATGCTTACCATTCACCCGAAGGCTGTTCTTCTCCATGTTCATATGTCTAAATTTGGTACCATCTTTGGTGAGATTGCGCAGCTCGTTGTAAACCTTCACGCGGTCAAAGGGGATGGCAAGCTGATTTTGCCAATAGCCGCAGAGTTGGTCTACCATGACTGCCGCCCCTGTTTCTGGAGATCTGAGAAAACGCAAAGACCTCTTAGAGAATTGCAAGGCATACCAGAAACGTGGAAAAGTGAATGTCTGTGGGGTGATAAAGCCACACCGGGTTTTCATTTAGGCTTTAAAGGAGTTCTTGAGTGAGCCACACGCCCAAAATCAGAACCGAGTTGCTCAACTATAAGATGTACCCATTAAAGAGGTATTAAAGTTCAATCATTTGGAAGTGCAAACGCTTACCGAAAACGCTGCACTTTGCAACCGGTAAACGCTGGGCTGACGCTGGTCTTGTTGAGTAAGGATTCCATCTGGAGAAGGGAGAAAAATCATAGCAAACATAGTAATGAAGATGATGATAATTCGGACCTTCTGAACTCAGACTGACAGAGTTTTGGAGCACAATGCTCCTGAACTCACAATCGTTTTTTTTTTTTAAAAAAAACCCAAGAGCCTCCCCGGATGATCTTAAACTGCGAGGTGGGACGTAGAGGGAGATGCGTTCGGACAAGTAAGCTGGGCCAGAACTGTATAGGGCTTTATAGGTCAAAACCAGCACTTTGAATTGAGCTCGGAATTGGACTGGCAGCCAGTGGAGCTGACACAATAAGGGGGTAGTATGCTCCCTGTATGTCGCCCCAGTTAGCAATCTGGCTGCTGCCCGTTGGACTAGTTGTAATTTACGAACAGTCTTCAAAGGCAGCCCCATGTAGAATGTGTTGAAGAAATCTATTCAGGATGTAACAAGAGCGTGGACCACCTTAGCCAGATCTGACTTCCCAAGGTATGGGTGCAGCTGGCACACAAGCTTTAACACTGCAAAAGCTCCCCTGGCCACTGCCAAAACCTGGGGTTCCAGGCTCTGCGATGAATCCAGGATCACTCCCAAGCTGTGAACCTGCCTCTTCAGGGGGAGTGTAACCCCGTCCAACACAGGGTGTAACCCTATCCCCTGTTCAGCCTTTCGACTGACTAGGAGGACCTCTGTCTTGTCTGGATTCAACTTCAATTCATTAGCCTCATCCAGTCCGACACAGTGGCCAAGCACCGATTCAAGGTCTGAACAGCCTCCTTAGTAACGGGTGGGAAGGAGTGACACATTTGGACATCATCTGTGTACAGATAACATACAGGTTCTCTGCGTACAGGTTCTCTGCGGAGGTCATCTACCAAGGGGACCAAAGCTGTCTTCATTCCGTGACCAGGCCTAAAACCAGATTGTCTTTTACCATCATTTCATTCCATTGCCTTCCTCCCCTTCATCTTCCCGTTCTTCCTTCTTCTTCTCCTTTTCTCTCACAAACTGCTCCCCAAACTTTGGAAAACGTTGAGCACATTTCCTTTTGGGTTTCCAAGCTTGTTGGAATGCATTTGTCTTTGGAATGGATAGGAATTGTTTGTCAGCCCCAACCAGTAACAGTGACTTAAGTGTTCTTGCATGAAATTGGAGTTTTCGTCTGAAAGCACGAGGTAATACTTACGATATATTTGACAACTCTTTCTGTGTCATTGAACTTGCGAGATCCAGGGGTCCCCATCTCCAGGGTGTAAGGCAAGCTGGACAAGGTATAGTTCACGGTGAAAGGCCTCAAAACGGGAGTCTTGGGGTCGGTATTCATTGGGGGTTGACCTGGAGGGTGGGAAATGAACATTGGTTCTGAAACTAACTTAAGGTGACCATATGTGAAGGTTTTCGTGGCCAGAGTTTTGAGAGAGTGACTTGCCATAAAGTCCTCCAATGGGTTTCTGTGGCTCAGCAAGACCCGAATCCAGGTCCTCCAGAATCTCAGTTCAACACTATCATGACTATCTCTGATTACTATTTGAATTAATTTAATCTGAAAGTACCCAAAATGAAGTTTTCCATGTAAATATTTACCTAGAAGTTGCGTTCGCTCATTGTAACCTGGAAAGGAAAGAGAAAGAGTTGCCGTAAACCACAAAACCAACTGGAATCACCCTCTTGATCGATCATTTCCAAATAGAGTAGACAGAAACACAACTGGAAGATTCAATTAGTATCTAGGATAGATTTGCGACACCAAAACTCTCTCCTTAAAAAGCTCTGGACCTTCAAAGGAAGTTACAATTCTGAGTTGGTCGTCTGGAGCCCTGTGTCCACTTCCGGACATCAATAATCATTATATTGATCAACCATGTTACCGTTAACATAGAGGCTGTGTTCGTCCAATTTGTAGGGTCCCATCCTGGTGAACCCCTTGGTCCTGTTGACCACTTCGTGGTAGACTTCCACTCGATCAAAGGCAGGGCTGGTGTGACGGCAGACAGAGTTGACTCCAGTTTCATCCCCATTTTTCACAGGTCTGGAAAGAAAGAAAGGTATCAAGAGGTGGGTCAACCATCAGAAAAATCAAGCAACGAAAAGCAATGAGATCACCCTATACCAGTATTTCTCAACCTTCCTAATGCCGTGACCCCTTAATACAGTCCCTCACGTTGCGGTGACCCCAACCATAACATTATTTTTATTGCTACTTCATGTAATTTTGCTACTGTGCTGAATCATAATGTAAATATTTGATATGAAAGATGTATTTTCATTCACTGGACTGAATTTGGCACAAATACCCAATACGCCCAAATTTGAATACTGGTGGGGTTGCGGGGGTTGATTTTGCTATTTGGGAGTTGTGGTTGATGGGATTTATAGTTCACCTATAATCAAAGAGTATTCTGAACTCCACCAACAATGGAATTGAACCAAACTTGGCACACAGGACTCCCATGACCAACAGAAAATACTGAAAGGGTTTGGTAGGTATTGACTTTGATCTTAGGAGTTGTAGTTCACCTAAATCCAGAGAGCACTGTGGACTCTAACAATGAGAGATTTGGACCAAACTTGGCACATATATGCCATCTGCCCAAATGTGAATACTGGTGGAGTTTGAGGAAAATAGACCTTGACATTTGGGAGTCAAGTTGTAGTTGCTGGGATTGATAGTTCACCTACAATCAAAGAGCATTCTGAATGATAGAATTGAGCCAAACTTCCCATATAGGACCCCCATGCCTTGAAGGGACTCGCTGGTGCGAGCCTCCCTCTAGCCTCGCATGCTCTCCCTCGCTCGCACATGTGCACCACACTGCCATGCACCAAGCACGCCTGCTTTCCCCTCTCCACTTGGAGTCTCAGAAACAGCCCTCTCCATGGCTGAGAAGCTGGCCAAGCACATTGGAGGAGGGCTTGTGGTGGGAAGATTTGTGGAAGAGAAGGAAGAGAAGGACAGGCAGAGAGATTTTCAGCCTACCCATCAGAAATATATGTTTTCTGATGGTCTTTGGCGAACCACTGAAACCCCCTCATGCCTGCCCCCTCCCCCAGTAGTTCCAGCCCCCAGGTTGAGAAACGCTGCCCTATACAGTAGAAACTCTACATAAGAATGTCCCAACATAAGTTTTAACTTACAAATCTTCACTTGGCTTAGAGCGATGTTTTGACATGCGAACACTGTTTTGACCTATGAACCAGTTCCAATAGGAAGGCAGAGTGAAACAAAACCTGAACTGGATTTCTAGCCAGAGCAGTCTTCCTGCAAGGCAGAAACTCCAGTACCATGTGATTGCTTGCCCTCAACGTTCTAGGAGGAGTCAAATCTGGAGATTCCACTCCAGAAATTGCAGTCCACACTGGTACAGCAGAGTCTCAGCCTAAACCAGTGGTTCCCAATCTGTGGTCCATGGACCACCAGTGGTCAGCAAGAACAAAAATATGGTCAACGGCCTCACTATTACTACACCATTGACTCAAAACCACGTGACAACAAGAGCAACTGGTCTTGCAAAACCCTCTTATAGTGCCGAGGCAATGGGGATGCCAGGAGGGGAGAAGCTGACTATCCACAAAAGATTACTACTGCCACATAAGCTCTAGATTATTAGATATAGTTTTCTGTGGGCAAGCATATGTTCTGTATCAGAAACTAGAGCTGATGTGGTCAATCTTATGCAATTTTCTGAATCAGCACTCCAAATAACTAAATTGAATTTAAAGTTGACCAAAAACCCTTTTGGTACTAATGTTGGAGAGTGGTCCTGGTCAAAATAGTCCCTGTGCAAGTGATCCCTGGTCAAGTGGTCCCTAGTCAAAAAAAGGTTGGGAACCACTGGCCTAAACAGTGAGTACAGGACTTCCAGCAGATCGGAGCAACTCTTGCACCTCGTGGCTCAGTGCCTCATCCTGCCTGCTTTTGCCTGTGTGTCTCAGCCTGCATGCCTCAGCCTGCCTGCCTCAGCCTGCATGCCTCATGGCTCAGTACCTCAGCCTGTCTGCCTTTGTCTGGGTGCTCTTCTCCGCTTTCGGAGATTGCTGTCCACTGAGGAAATTTGGGGCAGTGACATCTCTCGCCCATCCTCTGTTCGGATATCAGCCAGCAAGCCAATGCCTTAAATCAAGAAACAGCTTCCTAAGATCCACAGAGACACTTGCAGAAACACCTCAGCAAGCAAGAGTCCAAAAGTGGCAGGCTAAAACCCAAAACCTCAATTAGTACCAAATGAGAGATTTCCTCCTGGGCACACAGAAGACTGGATAACTTGGAAGGCACTGAACAGACTGCGCTCTGGCACTACGAGATGCAGAGCTAATCTTAAGAAATGGGGCCACAAAGTAGAGTCCATGACATGTGAGTGTGGAGAAGAGCAAACCACAGACCACCTATTACAATGCAGCCTGAGCCCTGCCACATGCGCAGTGGAGGACCTTCTTGTAGTAACACCCAGAGGCGGCCCTAGGTAATTTTCAACAGTAATCTAACAGTATTTTGGCCCCCCCCCCAACCAATCATTGATATATATTTTCTGTTTGTCGTGGGAGTTCTGTGTGCCATATTTGGTTCAATTCCATCATTGGTGGAGTTCAGAATGCTCTTTGATTGTAGGTGAACTATACAGCCCAGTAACTACACTTGCCGCACTTGCTCCCTTGCCTGGCCCGCTTTGGGTCCGGAGGCGTGCCTGAAGACCCCGGCGTGTGCACCAAAAGTCACCTCTTCTCCTGACTTTCTCCTCAGCCATTGGGACCAAGAGAGAGAGAGAGAGACAGAGGTGGAGATGCCCACCTTTCCTGAAGGTAGGCGCAAAAACAAAGGAAGGAGCGGAGGTGGGAGATACCTCCAGCCGGAGGGGCTCTCTCTCTCTCTCTCTCTCTCTCTCTTGGTCCCAATGGCTGAAGAGAAAGTCAGGAGAAGAGGCGACTTTTGGTGCGCACGCTGGGGTCTTCAGACACGCCTCCGGACCCGAAGCGGGCCAGGCGGCGGCTCCGCCCCTTGGCCCACCCGTGGATTGGGGAGAGGAGAGGAGGCAGGTGGAGCGCCGGGGGATCGGGAAAGGGAGCCGGTCATGGGGAAGGGATCGAGTGCGGAGAACAATTGAGCGCCGGCTGTGCTTGTGCACCCGGTGGCCGGGTGGAGCAGGAACGAGAGGGGCTAGGAGAGGTTCAAGGGCCCAGCCCCTTTGGGAAGAGGATCGCCCGGCAGTGAGGCAAGAAAGCCGAGGCTCCCCCCGGACTGCTAGGGCTGTTGTGAGCTGAGGGGGCGCTCCTCAAGTGGTGGTCGAGGGGCATTTACAGAGGCGCCTCTGCGCCCCTGGCAAAAAAGTGTTCTGCGACCGCTTACTTCGCGTAATGGACGAGCCGCCCCTGGTATCACCAGAGGCACTCCAAGTGGCCAGCCTCTGTTCAAAGGAAATCTAGTATAATGCCAAGTTTTTAACTTTGTTTCTGGTTTTTGTATACATTGAGAATTGAGAATACAACTGTATTCTCAATTCGCTTCTGACACAATAAATAAGTAAATACTTAAAAACACTGTCACAGTGTATCTTAAGTCAAGATATCACTGTATTGGAGGATGACATACCTTAGAGTCATCACATCGCATCCCTTAAACACTGGACTAATGTTGCTCTGGTTGAACATTCGGGCAAGCTGAAGCAAAAAAAGATGGTGTTGAGTATACCGAATGAACTGGGCTCCAGAGAACACAGAATCCGTCCCATCCAAGGTGGACCTGGGCTTACCAAAGTCGTGAGTGGCATTTCTGTGGCGTTGAAGGCCTTCGACTTGGGAATCCCCATCTCTGGCTTGTGGCGGAGGTTGGTGATGATGAAATTCATGGTGAAATTCTCCACCGTCGGAGTCCTGGTGGCTGCGGACCACATGGAATGGGATAGAAAGCATTACAATTAGATATCTAGCAAACTGTTGCCATGAACTGTATCAACACTGGGGGTTTTCCCCCAGCCCTATTATGATATGAAAAGGAATGTTGCTTGTTGGACCACTAAAGCAATATGTCATGGACCGCTGATCACTAGGATGAAACCTACTCACAAACAGGATTTGAAATAGATTCCTTTCTTTCCAGATCATCACAATGATTAAGAATACGGAGGCACACTTACTTGTACGAACGAGAGCTTCGTTATAACCTAGGAAAAAAGAAGAAAAGTACAGATAAGGAGAGTCTTCCAAGAGAAGGATTCTGATGGATAGTTTTACAGTGTGAATGTCAAGAGATCAGGTCTCAGCTAAAGCCACAAGTTTTACCATTGATGTAGAGGCTGTTTGGGTCCAGTTTGTAGGGCCCCATCTTGGTGAACCCATAGGTCTTGTTAACCATTTCATGGTAGACTTTGACTCGGTTGAAGGCGGGGGCGGCGGAGTCATGTCGGTAAGCGCAGACAGCATCCATGCCGGTTTCATCACCATGGTTGAGAGATCTTCAAAGAGAGAAAAGGGCTTAAGCAGAAGTATTTTGAATCAGCTGAAAAGGCAGGGCAGGGGAGGGGAAATCATTGCTAATGAAGGAAAGATATAGAAGAAGGAATAGGTTCACAAATAGAACAAACGTCCATGGAGGGTTGAAGGCTCTCCTTTGGAAGACTGGTCATTTCTCAGGAGTGCTCTAGTTGTGTTTCTCCACAGCAAAGGGTTGGACTAAATGGCCTCTGTGGTCTAGGATGCAATTATTCTATTATATATACCCACCAGCTTTCTCCTTTCTCCAGATTTGAGAAGGTCTACTTTCTCCAACTCTGAGACCTACTTTCTCCCTTCTCCACCTCTGAGAAGACCTAATTTCTCCCTTTTTCTTACTTGAGGAGGGATACTTTCCCTCTTGTCCAGCTCTTGAGGAAACCTATTTTCATCCTTCACCAGCTCTGAGAAGACCTACATCCTCCCTTCTCCAGCTCTGCTTCAGCTCTGAGAAGACCTACTTTCTCCAGCTCTGAAGACCTACTTTCTCCCTCCGCCAGCTCTGAGGAGGTCTACTTTTCCCCTTCTCCAGCTCTGAGAAGACCTAATTTATCCCCTTTTCTTACTTGAGGAGGGATATTTTCCCTCTTCTCTAGCTCTTGAGGAAACCTATCTTCATCCTTCACCAGCTCTGAGAAGACCTACTTCCTCCCTTATCCAGCTCTGCTTCAGCTCTGATACCTACTTTCTACTTTCTCCAGCTCTGAGAAGACCTACTTTCTCCCTTTGCCAGCTCTGAGGAAGTCTACCTTCCCCCTTCTCCAGCTCTAAGACATACTTCCTCCCTTCTACAGCTCTGAGAAAAACCTACTTTCCCTCTCCTCCAGTTCTGAGACCTACTTTCCCTCTTCTGCAGCTCTGAGGCCTATTTTCTTTAGTTCTTCAGGAGGCCTACTTTCTCTCTTCTCCAGCTCTGACAAAGTCTGCTTTCCTCCTTCTCCAGCTCTTGAAGAGGCCTATTTTCTCCCTTCTCCAGCTTTGAGGAGGTCTGCCTCATAATGCCTCTATAGCAACATGGCTCCATTTGTAGCTCATTCTGTCCTTCTTTTCTCCCTTCTTTCCTACGCATGTCACTTGTCTTTCCCAGTGATATCACAGAGGGACACTCCACAAAGCAACAGCCAATCCAGTGACATCACAGAGGGCCATTCCACCTGTACCTTTGTGGTACAGACAGGAAAATGTACATATTTTGACATTCATATAGATAAATTAACATACATTTATCAGTAACTTACCTGAAAGTTGTCACTTGACACCCCAAATATCTTGAGCCGATAACATTGCTTTGGTTCAGCATCCTGCCAAGCTGAAGAAGAAAGGGTTGCACTGAGTGTACTGAAGCTACAAGATACCCCAAATCTACTCTGTCCAGAATGAATCCAGGCTTACCAGAATTAGGAGTGGCCGTTCGGTCACGTTGAAGGTCTTCGAATGGTGGACTCCCATCTCTGGTTTGAACCGGAGGTTGGTGATGGTTAAATTTGCAGTGAAATGCTCCACCATTGGGGTTGGAGTTGTCTTGGGTGAAATGGCTTGAAAGGAAGATGAAAACAACATAACTGATATTTCCGATAAACTCGTCATGACTGACGTACCTGTGAATTACTTCATTTCCAATTTTATTTTTGCAGAATGAGTGCGCCATGATACAATTTTCTGGGTCAATGTTTATCAACGTGGTTTCTTAAAATATGTGTTTCCTGACTATTTACAATTTTTTTGCATATTCTTTCTATCCTGATTAATTAGAAGAAGCATCAATTAAAGCATTGCTTGTGAGAGGCAAAAGTTAAGACTGTGGAAGCAACACTTACTTGTTTGGAGGTGCCCTTCATTATAATCTAAGAAAAGAAGGGGGGAAAGTATTGTTAGCTCATGTTTCATTGCTGTAGTATTTATTTATTATTTATTTACAGGATTTATATTCCGCCCTTCTTACCCTGAAGAGGACTCGGAGTGGATCACAGAACACATATGGCAAACATTCAATAATAATAGTAATAAAACTTTATTTATATACCACTCCATCTCCCCGAGGGGACTCAGAGTGGTTCCCAGGTAACATCACAAAACATACAAAGTAAAAACAACATAACCATAAGATTAACAAAACAATATAAGCATAAAAATTGTCGCCATAACACACATATATTAAAAGTAATCCTGCCTGTTCAAGGCAATTTAAAAATGTAAAAGGCCGGGCCAAGATTTGTGCAAGCCCAAAAATTCTAGGGGGCCCGGGAATAATAATAATAATATTAGGTACGGGTCTGTGGCTGTTCATTCTGGGGCCATTTAGAGGAAATGATCTGGGTAACTGGTAGGAAGGATAAGGCCATATTCAACAATGTGTGGGGCTGAATTAGAACTGGTAATTTTCAAAGGCTTGTTGAAACTACCAGGTCTTCAAGATCTTACAAAAGGAGGGGAGGGATGGGTCCCTTATTTCCCTTGAAAGGGCATTCCAGAGGCGGGGGGGGGGGGCACCTCCGAGAAGGCCCTTTCTCTTGTCCCCACCAACCGTGCTTGTGACAGAGGTGAGACCGAGAGGAGGGCCTCCCCGGAAGATCTTAGAGTTCATGCCGGTTCATAGAAAGAGATGTGATCGTGGAGATAGGCGGGGCTGACAAGACGGACAACTGGACATAGATAGAGGTATATATAGGATTTCCCATCTTGGGCATCTTGGAGGCTGGGCTTGGTTCCGGCCACGGAGGGCGGGGTGTGTGTGTCTGTGGGTGGGTGGGGGGGGTGCTGTCACTCCACTTTCCCTGCCGAAGAGCTTTGTTCATAAACTTCCTCCTTGATCAAATTGCCAGCATTTTACTGGCATTTCCTCATGAGTGCCTTAAATACCTCCCTGCTTAAGCGGTACCTATTCATCTACTCACATTTCTGTTTTCGAAACTGCTAGGTAGGCAGAAGCTGGGCTAAAGCCAGGAGCTCACCCTGACCCGGGCTTTGAACTGTCAACCTTTTGGTTGGCAAGATTTACTGCACCTGGTTGTTAACCTGCTGTTTTAAAGCCCAGCCCATTTGATACTATCCTGAGGTGTTGTTATATGGCATTTGTATCCCATTGTATCTCAAACTCCACAGAGGGACTCAGGGCAGCTAACAAACCGGCACCCCATGGTGCCCACAACCAAAACATAAATATACAATTTAAATGACAATATAGCAATAAAACAGTAAAAACAGTATTAAACAGTATAAAAACAACCAAACAGTCAAAAGTCGCCAGTTTAAGTCATCGTCCAAGGAGCAGTCAGTCAGTTAGCAGCAACTTCCCATCGCACATCAGGGGGCCAATGCCAGCTAGCTTTTAGAGTTTATTATTTATTATTTATTTACATTATTTCTATCCCACCATATCAGCCTGATTGCGACTCAGGGCGGCATACACAATTGGCACAATTCAATATTGGTTTTTAATGGGAATCTAAGCCACAATCACAATAAATATGCATTCAGAAAATAAAGAAAAGGAAAAGAAAAATATTATGGAATGTGCAACGGATATTTCATTTTGAAACTTGGCACGCCTGTAGGCAACATTTATGCCTTTAAACCTGCCAAGTTTCAGAACATTTCGGTCATCTACTGATTTTTAGGAATTTTAAAAAGTGGGGGGGGGGGGGAAAGTGTGCAAGGTAATAAAAGAACGATATAGCGGAAATAATGCAACCATCACAGTAAACAGGGCACAGATGAGACAAATAAATATCAAGAGGGAAACCAAACAGGGATGCACCCTTTCCCCAGCCCTATGACAGCCGCAATACAGGCTACAATAGCCTGAGAATGGAGAGACAATATAAAATGGGATTTAGAAACGTGGCAGGCTTATCTATCAGGATATATAATCAATGACTTCATAAATCAAAGGAAAAACAAGTATATAAATAGTCATACAGAACGAGACTAGAAATGGTCTGTTCTAATCAACAAAATAAAAGGAGACAACAGATATAGCATTTTGAGCCAGGCTTTAAACTGTTGCAATAACATCATTTAGAATTGCTGTTCCAGGAGAGTGGGGGGACTGGGGAGGAGGGTGTGGGTGATGGGAGATACACATCTAAGGAATGTATAAAGTGTCATTTAAGGAATATTTACTTTTGGAATAATGTATACTGAGATGAGGCTTGTATGGCAAAACTTTGTCAATTGCCGGGAGGTATCAATATTTTTTAAAAAGGAATTTAAACATGTTTTTACAATTTAAAAAATTACAAGAGCTATCCCCTTGAATTTCTGCACAATGAGCAACATAACCAAGGCATCGATGCTGCAAAGTTTCAGAAAGATTCATTCATCTATTGATTTCTAGGAAATTAAAAATGTTTTTAAAGCACATGTTTTTCTCTCCTACTAACTCCACAAGAAAACGCAGACGCCAAGGGGAGGAGACAAGGTTTGCAGAAAACCGAGTGATTGGCTGACAAGGAAAAAAACCAGCATGTAGTTGCTGTTGTCAGTCACATCAGACCCCTCGTCCTCTCCCACACCAGGCAATTACAGCGTATGTTACATTGAAAAAAACACAGCTTGAAATGCTCCAAAAGATCAAATCTTTACTAATCCCTCCGAAATGTTTCAAAGGCTTTTGTTTTGTAAACATTTTGGTAGATTTGTAGTAACAAATGATACACATCTCCAAATTACGAAACGGACCTCTGAAGCTTTGCACAGTCCTAATGGATATAGGACAGTAAGTTCGATTTGAAGGCATTCAGGGATAGAGAAATGACACCAACTCTAAATGGGGACCTTGATAACACACTGAAAAAGCATACATTTATTTACCATTAACATAGAGGCTATTCGGGTTCAGCTGATAGGGACCCATCCTGGTGAACCCATTGGTCATGTTGACAAGTTCATGGTACACCTTCTCCCGGTCAAATGCAGAGTCATTGCGGTAAGTGCAGATGGAGTCCATCTTGGTTTGATCCCCATTTTTGACCGGTCTGGAAGGAAAGAAAAGAGGCTAAGCAAAAGTATTTGGCTGGAAAGTCACAACTGCTGAATATAAATAAAAAAGAAATGTGTTCATTGGCCGAAAGGATTTCCTTGGACGGTTGTATGTTCTTCTTCTTTTTTGGAGGTCCAAATGGAAAGAGTGACTGCTTTAGCTGTCATTCTAGATCATACAATTCCCATTCTAGATCATACACTTGCTAAGGAGTTACCTAAAAGTGGTCGCTTTGCAGCCCAAATACACCAAACGGATGCTGCTCTTGCTGAAGGATCTGTCAAGCTGGAGGAGAAAAGATTGCATAGAGTAATATATCAAATGAATGGGAGACACATAATGCACCCCCTGACCAAAACAAAACCAGACTTACCAGAGTTATGAGTGCCAGTTCTGTGGCATTGAAGGCCCTTGAATGGGGAACTCCCATCTCCGGCTTGTACCGGAGGTTGGTGACGGTGAAATTTGTCATGAAAGATCCTACCGTAGGCGTTTGGGGGGCTGTGGACCAGAGCAGAAGACAGCATGGTTTATGCCTAATGGATTTGTTTATGTGATCCATTATTATTTGGGACTCATTCTTTCATATTCTATCCCCCCATATTGATTATCTCTTTGTTCTATTTAACSTTGCAGGGTTGTTATTGAGGTTTGTATCATTCTACTTGTGTTAACAACAACAACAACAGCAACATGTAAAAAACATTTTATTCCCCCCCCCCCCCCGATTATTTATTATGCTTTAATCAATTCCTTGGAGTGACTATATTCCCTTCATCATTTTGACACCTTGTGCTGATCATTCTACATGCATCATTTCTATAATGTTCAAATAATCATAATAGTAGTAGTAGTAGTAATAACAAAATAATAATAATAATAATAATAATAATAATAATAATAATAATAATGCTTTATTTATATTCCGCCAGCATCTCCCCAAAGGGACTCGGAGCGGCTCACAAAAGCACTCCAAAGTGCTGCACACATAAATATACACTACATGAGCATACAAAATGACAACAAGATAAATTTACACAACAATTTCACCTAAAAAGGTCACATAATAAGATTTAAAATTCCATAAAACGCAGCAGTACCTGCGGATAAAAATGGCTCTCTTCAAGTATCAGTCCAAAGTACCAGAGTTGAACAATCACTAAGTCCTCGAGTCTAATCACTAAAATTCTAATCAAGGTCAAAGGCCTGTTTAAAAAGCCATGTTTTCAGATTAGAACGAAAAACTTGAAGAGTGGGGGCTACCTAATCTCTCTAGGGAGGAAATTCCAGAACCGGGGGGGCACCAGTGAGAAGGCCTTCTTTCTCGTTCCCACCAATTATTCTTGGGACAAAGGTGGGAACAAGAGGAGGGCCTCCCTGGTAGATCTCAGAGCCCACATCGGTTCATAGAAGGAGTTGCAGTCATGATGATAGGTTGGTTCTGAAGTGCGTAGGGTAATAACCTGTACTTTGAATTGGGCCGGAAGCTTGTCAGCACCCAGTAGAGCTGCTTCAATAGGGGTGTGGTGTGCTCCCTATAGCTAGCCCCAGTTAGTAATCTGGCTGCCGATCTTAACACCAATTGCAGCTTTCAAGTGGTCTTCAAAGGCGGAGTGCATTGCAATAGTCCATTCTAGATGTAACTAAGGAATGGACCACCATAGCCATGTCAGGCTTTTCAAGGTACAGTTGCAGCTGACACACTGGTTTTAACTGTGCGAAGGCCCTACCAGCCACCACTTACACCTAAGCTTCAAGTGTCAACGCTGAGTCCAGGAGGACCCCTAGACTGTGGACCTGTGTCCTAAGAGGAATGTAACCCCATCCAGCACAGGTTGCCAGCCTATGTCCTGATCGGCCTCGAGGACCTCTGTCTTGTCTGGATTAAGCCTCAGTTTGTTGGCTCTCATCCAGCCCGTCACAGCTATCAGACACTGGTAAAGGATCCAGGGAGCTTCCTTGGAATGGGGTGGAAAGGAGTAGTAGAGCTGTGTGTCATCTATGTAGAGATGACACCCAACTCCAGAACTCCGAATGACCTCGCCCAGCAGTTTCATGTAGATGTTGAAGAGCATGAGGGCAAGAATAGAACCTTGCAGGACCCCACAGGTCAATGGCCAGGGACTCGAGCAGGTATTTCCCAGCTTCACCAACTGGGTGCCATCCTCCAGGAAGGAATGGAGCCACCACAGAGCAGTGCCCCTAAGACCCATTCCAGAGAGCTGGCCCAGGAGGATACCATGGTCAATGGTATTGAAAGTCTCTGAGATATCTAAGAGAACCAGCAGGGACACCCCCCCCCCCAATCTATTTCTCTGCGGAGGTCATTCACCAAGGCCATCAAAGCTGTCTCCATTCCGTGGCCAGGCCTAAACCCAGACTGCAAGGGGTCTAGTAATACTCAGTCAAAGTAATACATTGGATAACAACAACAACACATTTTCTTTCTTGTTCACATCTCCTTAAGTCTTCAGGCAGGGCACAACAGAGTTAAAACACAATAGATAAAAACATTACCTATTGTTAATGTTTATTTTTTTGTTAATTGTTATTGTTATTGTTAATTGTTAACTTTAAACATTCATTGTTTAAAGTTGACTGGGACTTTAAGCATGTACTTACTTGGTTTCAGAGGCATTTCATGATAACCTAGGTAAAAGAACAAAGATACCATTACCACAATAATCAGAGTGGAAGCCTGTTTGCTGGGGGTGATGGGCATTGAAGCATCATAAAGTTGGAAAGGGACATATAGGCTATGGAGTCTAACCCCTTGCTCAAGGAAGGATATCCAGCAATGAAGTATCTGTCCACACTTTTCGGGAAGATATCTGAAGAAGGAGATCCTAACACCCCTGTAGTCAATCGATTGCATATTCAGAATTAGTTATAATTTGAAAATCATCTTGTTACCATTGACATAGAGACTGTATCTTTCCAACTTGTAAGGTCCCATCTGGGTGAAGTTTCTGGTCTGGTTGACAATCTCACGGTAGACATTTACTCGGTCAAAGGCAGGCCCGGTGGAATCGTTTCGGTACGAGCAAACATAATCCGTTCCTGTTGCGTCCCCATCATTCAGGCGCCTGGGAAGACAGATAGAAAGAGCGTTGAAGCCAAAGGGGTTGATAGTTGGCCAAATGACGGGGCCAGATAATAACACTCATACAAAAGAGAAGCTCATCCTAGCATTAAGAACAACTTACCTCAGCATTGTTACCTTGCACCCCAGAAACACTGGTCCAATGCTGCTCCTGTTGAGGTATCTGTCAAGCTTAAGGAGAAAGGATAGTGTGTTGAGTATACAATATTATAGAATATTCACTATGGGGCTTTGGTCTCCATAAATGTTCCTTATATGTAACTTTTGACATTCATTCAGAAAAGTTAATTGACCCTCGGCAACATAGCTAACAGTTGGGAAAATTATGTATGAATCTGTTCTATTTTTGTTCTTTTTTTGTTTCGAATTTCAGATTCCCCTCTTTCTGTTTTTTTTTTTTTGGAAAATTCCAGGAGATTAGGAAGGGGGCTGTTTGGAAGCATAATTCAGAACCCTGAGTTCTGTTTCCAAAAACAGAACAAAAACAGAAAGGAATTCTGTGCCATTTTGCACACCCCTATTATGCAATATAAACTGTAACATTTACTAGCGTCCGCAGTGGCACTTCTGTAGCATTGAAGGTCTTTGAATGAGGGATTCCCATCTCTGGCTTGTACCGCAGGTTGGTGACAGTGAAATTTGTAGTGAAATTCTCAACTGTCCAAGACGGGGTTGGCGAAACGGCTGGAATACAAAGAAAAGACGATGGCTGCGCTAATTTGGAGAAGTCAAAATGGTTATCAGTTGTTTATATGGCTTTCCTAAACTAAAGGAAGCTATCGGTTGCTCACATGGCATTTCCTAAACTTAAGAAAGTTTTCAAGTCATCTATCCAGACATGACCTGTGTCTGGGTTTTCTGCTGTTCCAGAGACTAGGACACAATTGAGCCATGGATTCAAACTACAGGAAAAGAGACCTAACCTAAACATTAGGAAGAACTATGGAAAAAGAGACCTAACTTCAACATTAGGGAGAACTTCCCAATGAAAAGAGCCTTGGATTCACCTTCTTTAGAGGTTGTTGGAGGAACACTTTAGTGGTGTATTCCTACCTCCAACCCAAGATGATCCTCCAACTAGATCAGTGGTTCCCAACTTGTGGTCCGTAGACCACTAGTGGTCCGCAAGAACTAAAATATGGTCCGCAGGCTCACAATTACTACACTTTTGTAATGGGTGTGACTGGTCTTGCAAAATCCTCTTATAGTGCCAAGGCAACGGGGATGTCAGGAAGGGAGAGGCTGACTCCCCACAAAAGGTTACTACTACCACATCAGCTCTAGATTATTAAATATGGTTTTCTGTGGGCGAGCAGATGGTAACTACTGGATGGCATATGTTCTGTATTGGAAACTAGAGCTGATGTGTTCTATCCAATGCAATTTTCTGAATCCGCACCCCAAATAACCAAACCAAATCTAAAGTTGACCAAAAACTGATTTGTAACCCTTTTGGTACTAATCCGCCCCGAGTCCCTTTGGGGAGATAGAGCAAAATATAAATAAAGTTTTATTATTATTATTAATGTTGGAGAGTGGTCCCTGGTCAAAAAAGGGTTGGGAACCACTGAACTAGATAATCTTTTGAATCTAATCCAATTCTGTGAGTCTATGATACTTATCAATGCCTGCCCATTTGTGTGTGTGTAGTGATCCCTAATCAATCATTATTTGCAAATAACTTACTTGGTTCTGGAGGACCTTCATGATAACCTAAGAAGGGAGAAGAAAGTATCATCAGTCAACAAAATTGTCGCTCAAATACAGCACAAGCAATGCTCTAAAACAATTTGCCTACCATCAACGTAAAGACTGTATTCTTTCAGTTTGTAGGGCCCCATCATGGTGAAACCTTTGGTCTTATTCACTATTTCGCGGTATGTTTTCACCCGGTCAAAAACAGGCGTTGTAGAGTCGTTTCGGTAAGTGCAAATAGAATCAATCCAAGTTTCTTCTCCATTTTTAACTGGTCTGGGGGGGGGGGGGGGAGAGAAAATAAACTTGAGGGGAAGACTTGTGAGTCAGCAACTCACTGGGAAAAGACGAAGATGCACGAGACATAACAGACGACTCAGATATTAGAAGACCACTTACTTCAGAGCTGTCACTTTGCAGCTCAAAAATGCCTGCCCAATGCTGCTATCACGGAGTATTCGACCCATCTGACAAAAGAAAACAAGAACGATATTTGAATACATCAAAGAAGGACTCTCTAGGCAGTTATCCGATGTAATTCTTCTGAATTCTGCACCATCTCCCAAGCAGAAATGGAACCAGACTCACCAAAGTAGTGACCGCCCTTTCAGTTGCATTGAATGTGTTTGAATTGGGAGTCCCCATCCCTTCCCGGAACCGGAGGTTGGTGATGGTCAAGTTCACGGAGAACTCTTCCACGGCTGGAGTTGGCGTTGTAGTTAGAGAGGGTAAAACAGCTGGAATGGGATGAGATTTGAGAAACAGAGATTTGGTCCTGTGTATCCTAGTCCAAACACTATATTCTGCTAGTTCTCAAGACTTTTGCACCATGGTTTCTAAATTAAAAGGTGTCTCAATGCGACTTACTTGTTTGAGGAGGAATCTCATAGTAACCTGTGAAAAGGAAAGAAGTGGACATTAGCAAGTTTCATGCTGAAAATGAAGAAGGCTAGCCTTTGGTGTTAGTACAACACCAGTAATTGTTTTTTTAGGTCATTCTGTGAGCAATAATTTAGGAATTTTCTTAATGGGTAATTTAGTCCTGCCCTGATGCATGAGATGATAGTGGCATTGATCATTGATGAATATATTAAACAAGGTAGGGGCAAGGATGCAGTCTTATCTGACTCCTCTGAATGTGGATATTTCTCCAGAAAGTTGTCCCAGGTTGCTACATCTGATCTGTAGCTTACTGTCGCTATACAGAGTCTTCATAAGGCCTAGAAGTCTTTTATCGTTCAAGGTCTTGTCCATTTAATACAACACCCGACAAGTCAACCAACCTATTTCTTAATCCTCATAATCTCTCCAAATTGTTCTAAATCCCAAAATTACCATCAACACAAAGGCTATATCTCTTCAGGTCGTAGCGTCCCAACTTGGTGAAACCATCGGTCTGATTGACAAGTTGCTGGTACACCGTCACTCGGTCAAAGGCTGGAGCACCGGAATTGTTTCTGTAAGTGCAGACGGCATCCAGCCCTGTTGCGTTCCCGTTTCTCACCGATCTGCAATGAGAAAGGGCCATTCAGAACCCAGAGAAATTACTCCTGTCTGTGTGGCGGTTGTGGATACGTTTAAAGAAAGCTCACCTTAGCTTTGTGATGTTGCATCCCATATACACCGGTCCGACCATGGTTTGGAGGAGCTCTCTGTCAAGCTGATGAAGGAAAGTTACATTGAGGACATCAAATCAAATGGACTCTTAGAATCCTAGAGTTAAATGAGGGCCATCTGGTCCTACCCCATTCTGCCACTAAAAAGAGACACAATCCTCCCGACAGATAGCCATGCAGCCAAACCTTATCCCAAGAATTCACACTGTTCTCACCAGACGGAGAAGTTTGCTTGCTGTGGAATTAAACACTTCAGAATTTGGAGTTCCCATTTCTGTCTCATACTTAAGGCTGGTTACGGTAAAATTCATGGTAAAGTGGGCAATGACTGGAGCTGGTGTGGAAAAAACACCTGGAACAGAATGAGGGGACATCGTTCATACATCGAATCTGATGTGGTGCATTTGCCATCCTTGCTGTTAACAACATCGTTTAGTATGGTAAAGTTTACAGTGGATTTGGATACTAGAAGAAGCAATATCCCCAAACCATGTTGCAGGACATTTAGATCTCCTTGGACATAACAGTATGAGATTTACAAGTGGTAATCATGGAAAAAACCTCAATAAACAAACTCCAGAGCTTCTGTGCCAAGAATTAATCATATTTGCCCTCTTGTTGTTTGGCCACAACCGGGTACTACTTGATCAGCTTTCATGCATGAAATGTTGAAGACCAATGACAACCCTGGGAAGCATGATGGGAAGGAATGGTCGGACTCAGGCTTCGGTTTTCGTAACAAGATAGTTAGTTTCCCTATGTCACAGCCATGATGACATTGCTCTGGATGGTGCCTAAAATTGTCAATGTTAGCAATAATGTCTCCAATCCTTAGTTGTAAATCCATGACATGATGAACTAGTGATTACAGTGTAGGACAACGATCCTGGAGACTAGGATCTGAATCCCCATTTAGATATGGAAACCTGTTAGCAAACCTTGGACAAGTCACATCTTCTCAGAAGAAGGTTGGTTCATCATTCATGGACTTAACAACAAACCCCCTTTCTGAACCAATCTTGCCTAGAAAGCTCCATGGTAGGGTTGTCACAAGATCAGAAAGGACTTGAAGACACATAACAAGAACAATGGGGAGTGATAGATCTCCAATGCATCCTATTATCAACTACTCTCCTCAAGTCTTGCAAACTCAGGGAAGATGTGGCTTCCTTGACAGGCTCCATCTTCTTTTTCTCCTATTGCCTTACACCTTCCCAAGCAGTCATCTCCTTAGTCTAATGCACCATCTCGTTTCCTGATAACCCAACTCATAGTGTCAATCTTTTCATTTCCCAAAAAAAAAAAAGGGGGGGGGGAGATAGGAAATGCCCATAATCTTGCCAATCTCTCACTTGTCAACATGGTGGAGGAAGCTGTTGCCTCTTTTCTGGTGACTGTTGGTGTGGCTTTGGTGGTCATTCCAGGAGGCACAACGGGGGGAAGAATGAACTTGGTGGATGAACCTATGGAATAAAAAGTGAGAGGATAATACCCTTATCTTATCTATTTTCTCTCCTAAAGTCCAAGTAGAATGTACTTACTTAGTGTTGTTACAGGCAATGTTGTTGTCTGTGGAGTTGTGGCATTCTTACCATCCACTGGCTGATCTATTGGTCTTTTCGTAAATGCGTGGATTATAGACTCATTGACTGGAGAAGCAAAATAGGAAAATATTAATGGTTGGGTTAATAAAAAAACATGGTGTGATGGGAAGCATAAGCTATTGTACCTTCAGACTAGGCGTCTAACATATATATGAAACATAAATGAATGTTGTGTTTAGACTCGGATTCCAAGATTATGTCCCTATATGGAAATACAGGGATGCCAAAGTTTGAATTTATTCAATATACTAAACCCTTCTGAATCCAAGCATTTCAGATAAGGGATACACAACTTGTACGTACAACCCATTATTATAGTACCTTTGGTAGATATGGAGGTGATCGCCTCTGTTGGAGTTGACATGATGAAGGTTGTAGTCACAGAACGTGAAGATGTCATGCTGGTCCCAGCTGACGATGTTGTGGGTTCTGGTGATGTGATGGTGGTGGTCTCAGGAGGAGAGGTTGTGGGTTCCAGTGATGTGACCATGGTGGTCTCAGGAGAACTTGTGGGTTCCAGTGATGTGATAATGATGGTGGTCTCAGGAGGAGAAGTTCTGGGTTCCAGGGAAGTGACCTTGATGGTGGTCTCAGGAGAAGTTCTGGGTTCCAGGGAAGTGACCATGGTGGTCTCAGGAGGAGAAGTTGTGGGTTCTACTGATGTGACCATGGTGGTCTCAGGAGAAGTTGTGGGTTCAAGTGATGTGACTATGGTGGTCTCAGGAGAAGTTGTGGGTTCCAGTGATGTAACTATGGTGGTCTCAGGAGGAGATGTTGTGGGTTGTAGTGATGTGACCATGGTGGTCTCAGGAGGAGAAGTTGTGGGTTCTAGTGATGTGACCATGGTGGTCTCAAGAGGAGACGTTGTGGGTTCTAGTGTTGTGACTATGGTGGTCTCAGGAAGAGAAGTTGTGGTTTCTAGTGATGTGACCARGGTGGTGTCAGGAGGAGAAGTTGTGGGTTCTATGGAAGTGACAATGGTGGTCTCAAGAGGAGACGTTGAGGGTTCTAGTGAGGTGACCATGGTGGTCTCAGGAGGAGATGTTGTGGGTTCTAGTGAGGTGARCATGGTGGTCTCAGGAGGAGAAGTTGTGGGTTCTAGTGATGTGACAATGGTGGTCTCAGAAGGAGAGGTGGTAGGTTCTAGTGATGTGATTATGGTGGTCTCAGGAGGAGAAGTTGTTGGTTCCAGGGAAGTGACCATGGTGTTCTCAGGAGGAGAAGTTGTGGGTTCTAGTGATGTGACCATGGTGGTCTCAAGAGGAGATGTTGTGGGTTCTAGTGTTGTGACTACGGTGGTCTCAGGAAGAGAAGTTGTGGTTTCTAGTGATGTGACCATGGTGGTCTCAGGAGGAGAAGTTGTTGGTTCCAGGGAAGTGACCATGGTGGTCTCAGGAGGAGAAGATGTGGGTTCTAGTGATGTGATCATGGTAGTCACAGGAGGTGAAGTTGTGGGTTCTAGGGAAGTGATCATGGTGGTCTCAGGAGGAGAAGTTGTGGGTTCTAGTGAGGTGACCACGGTGGTCTCAGGAGGGGAAGTTGTGAGTTCTAGTGATGTGGCCATGGTGGTGTCAGGAGAAGACGTTGTGGGTTCTAGTGATGTGATGATTGTGGTTTCAGGTGGAGAAATTCTGGGTTCGAGGGAAGTGACCATGGTGGTCTCAGGAGGAGAAGATGTGAGGTCTAGTGATGTGATCATGGTGGTGACAGGAGGTAAAGTTGTGGTTTCTAGGGAAGTGATCATGGTGGTCTCAGGAGGAGAAGTTGTGGGTTCCAGTGAGGTGACCATAGTGGTTTCAGGAAAAGTTGTGGGTTCTAGTGAGGTGACCATGGTGGTCTCAGGAGGAGAAGTTGTGGGTTCTAGTGATGTAAGCATGGTGGTTTCAGGGGAAGAGGTCGTAGGTTCCAAGGAAGTGACCACAGTGGTCTCGGGAGGAGATGTGGTTTCCAGGGAAGTGACCATGGTGGTCTCAGGAGGAGAAGGTGTGGTTTCCAGGGAAGTGACCATGGTGGTCTCAGGAGGAGAAGTTGTGGGCTGTACTGATGTAACCATGGTTGTCCCAGGAGGAGAAGTAATGGGTTCCAGGGAAGTCAACATGGTGGTCTCGGGAGAAGTTGTGGGTTCTAGTGATGTAAGCATGGTGGTTTCAGGGGAAGAGTTTGTAGGTTCTAATGATGTAACCATGGTGGTCCCAAGAGGAGAAGTCATGGGTTCAAGGGAAGTGACCATTGTGGTCCCAGGAGAAGTTGTGGGTTCCAGGGAAGTCAACATGGTAGTTTCAGGAGGAGATGTTGTGGTTTCTAGTGATGTGACTATGGTGGTCCCAGGAGGTGAGGTTGTGGGTTCCAGAGAAGTCAACATGGTAGTTTCAGGAGATGTGGTTGTGGGTTCCAGGGAAGTGACCATGGTAGTTTCTGGAGGAGATGTGGTTTCTATTGATGTTACCAAGGTGGTCTCAGGAGAAGTTGTGGGTTCCAGGGAAATGACTACGGGGGTCTCAGGTGGAGAAGTTGTGGGTTGTAGTGATGTGACCATGGTAGTTTCTGGAGGTGTTGTGGGTTCCAGGGAAGTCACAATGGTTGTCTCTGAAGGAGAAGTTGTGGATTCCAAGGAGGTCAACATGGTGGTTTTGGGAAGAGACGTTATGGGTTCTAGTGAAGAAGCCATTGTGGTCTCAGGAGGAAGTGTTGTGGGTTCTAGTGAAGAGAACATGGTGGTTTCTGGAGGAGAAGTTATGGGTTCCAGGGAAATCACTTTGGTGGTTTCAGGAGAAGTTTTTGGTCCTAGTGAAGTCATCATGGTAGATAAAGTAGAAGCAGTTACATCATCTGTTGGGGACACAGAGCTCCCTGTTGTCACAGATATAGCCTCTGTGGAGAAAGTAGAACCAGTTGTAACACCTGGTGAAGACATGGAGCTCCCGGTTGTGGATGTCATTGGCCCTATAGACAAAGTAGAAGCAGTTGTAAAATCTGGCAGAGACATGGAGCTCCCGGTTGTGGACATAGTAGAACCACTTGTAACATCCGGTAAGGACACAGAGGTCTCAGTTGTCACTGATACTGGCTCAGTGGACAAATCGGAAATAGTTGTAATATCTGGTGGAGACACAGAGCTCCCTGTTGTTACAGATATAGCCTCTGTGGAGGAAGTAGAACCACTTGTAACATCTGGTGGAGACACAGAGGTCTCAGTTGTCACTGATACTGGCTCAGTGGACAAAGCAGAAGTGGTTGTAACATCTGGTGGAGACACAAAGGTCTTTATTGTTACAGATATTGCCTCTGTGGACAAAGTGGTAGGTATTGTAATGTCTGGTGGAGACACAGAGCTTGCCGTTCCCGCTGACATTGTCGCTATGGACAAAGTAGACCCAGGTGTAACATTTGATGGAGACTTGGAGCTCCCGGTTGTTTCTGTGGACAAGGTAGAACCAGGTGTAAGATCAGATGGAGATACATATCTCCCAGTAGTGGCTGATATTGCCTCTGTGAACAAAGTAGAAGCTGTAGTTATAGCTGTTGGAGACACAGAGCTCCCACTTGTGGATGACATTGCTTCTGTGGACAAAGCAGAAACAGTTGTAACATCTGGTGAAGACATAGAGGTCCCTGTTATCATGGATATTGCCTCTGTGGACATAGTAGTAATGTCTGGTGGTGACACAGAGCTCCCTGCTGTCACAGATATAGCCTCTGTGGAGAAAGTAGAACCAGTTGTAACATCTGGTGAAGACATGGTGCTTCCGGTTGTGGGTGACTTTGCTTCTGTGGACAAAGTAAAAGCAGTTGTAACATCTGGTGGAGATATAGAGGTCCCAGTTGTCATGGACATTGCCTCCGTGGACAAAGTAGTCACAGAGCTCCCGCTTGTGGATGACATTGTCTCTGTAGACAAAGTAGAACCAGTTGTAACTTCTGGTGAAGACATGGAGCTCCCGGTTGTGGGTGACATTGCTTCCGTAGACAAAATAAAAGCAGTTGTAACATCTGGCGGAGACACAGAGGTTACAGTTGTCATGGACAAAGTAGTAGCTGTTGTAATTTCTGGTGTAGACACAGCGCTTCCAGTTGTGGCTGATATTGCTACTGTAGACAAAGTAGAACTGGTTGATGGAGACACAGAGGTCCCAGTCTGGGCTGATATTGTTTCTGTGGACAAAGTAGAACTGGTTGATGGAGACACAGAGGTCCCAGTTTGGGCTGATATTGCTACTGTGGACAAAGTAGAACTGGTTGATGGAGACACAGAGATCCCAGTTTGGGTTGATAATGTTTCTGTGGACAAAGTGGAACTAGTTGAAACATCTGGCAGAGATACAGAACCCTCACTGGTTATTGATGTTGCTCCCATAGTAGAAGTTGTAATATCAGGTGAATACACAGAGCTCCGTGTTGTCACTGATCTTGCCTCCGTGGATGGAGGGTACGAGGGAGATGTCGCATTCTCTTTTATGGTTAATGCGGAGTCTGTCCCTGTTGTCGGGACTGTAGTTGCCACACTAGTTGCCACTTGGAAAAAAGAAAAGATCAGGTTACTTTTCAAGCAGCATACAACCAAAAAACAATAATATTGAGAAAAATAGAAAGTAAGAATCGTCAAATAGAATGAGTAAGACCCCTGGATCTCTATATTTGATTCAGCCCACTTCTTTCCAGATAAAAGGATGGACCTCTGCATCCGGTTCCCATCTTGGCATTTCACGGAAAAATGCCAAGTCCTTCTGCTTCCTCCTTGCACCCCACTAATCCCTTTCATTGTGTTTGGCTCCACCTTCATAACCGGAAGACAAGGGAGATTACCCCAAGAGGAAATATCACTTTCCTTGCGTCACAACATCACAACATGGCAATGCCAGACAAAAGGGATTCATAATAGCAGAACACCCTGCAAAGGAATCTCATTCACTGGATGTTCTCAAACAGAGGCTAGATGGCCTTCTGTCGGGAGAACTTGGATGGTGTCTTCCTGGTTGGACTGGATGATGTTTGGGGAGCTGAAACCACACTGTACTTGGTCTCTCATGGAAGAGTGGATCGCTACGAGATCTTGAGAAGGAAAAGTACTTTGCTGAAAATGGGACCACGTCGCGTCTGGTTCTCACCAAGCGACCCATCACACAACCCAAAATTTTGCTATTTTCTCTTTGTGAAAGCATAAACAAGGCTGTACAAAGAAAGAAGGTGCCAACCAAAACAATGTCAAGGAAGGAACCGACTCTTTCTTCCGCCTCTCGCTTGCTTCAAATCAATCACACTCCTTTCTTCCTGAGACGTTTCCTTCTAAAGAACGGCTCATTCTTTGCTAGAATGGCACTGCGGTTGGGCTATGGAGACCGGGTTTCAAATCTCAGGTTCGTCACGAGTCACAATCTCCCAGCCTCAAATGGGGAAAACTGCCACAACAGAGTGAGGATTCGAACCCTGGTCCCCAGAGTGGTAGCTCAACACCCAAACCTGACCGCCATTATCAGTATATTGGCCCCCAGTTTATAGATTTAATCTTGGAAATGTTCCTAGGCAGAAGCGACAATGCTTTGGTCAAGTTCCAGCAGGAGTATACCATCGAATGACATTTGAGGACCTAGAAAATGCCTAGGAAGAACACCTGTAGCATTTTTATAGGTAGTGTATTTATTTATTTACTCCATTTATATAACGCTTTTCTCAGCCCTCGGGTGACTCAAAGCAGTTTACAGTAGCAAAAATTTCAATGCTTAAACATCACAAAACAATTAAAACAATTAAAAACCATGGCATCAATATACAATCATTACAAAGCCAATACTACATAACTCATAGCGTCTCTTAGTTAAAATCAAGATCCAAACTCATCATCCAGTCGTTCCATGTTCCAACATTTGTTACACTACCATTTCAAATGCCTGCTCAAACAAGCAGGTCTTAACCTTCCTATGAAATGCTAATAAAGAAGGGACTGATCTAATGTCTCTGGGAAGGGCGTTCCATAGCCGAGGGGCCACCACTGAGAAGGCCCTGTTTCGTCGCTGCCAAACATATTCGTGACGCAGGCGGGATCGAGAGCAGGGCCTCCCCAGATGATCTTAATGTCCTAGCTGGTCCATAGGAGGAGATACGTTTGGACAGGTAAGTTCAGTGTCAGGCATGTAGCCGGGGGGGGGGGGGGCACCTTGAGGGGCTTCAGCCCCCTCCCCAAAATCTCATGGTGGTCCGCGAGAAGGCCTTACTGGTGCATTATTTAAACTGTTATGTTTATTCATATCATGATCTGATCACCATACTCAATATATCCCATATGCATGGGGGTATTGGGGTAACAATACAAAAGGTTTGCTAGGGTAGACCCTCTTTCACTCAGACTCCCCCCCCCCCCCCCGAATCAAAATCCTGGCTATGGGCCTGTTTAGTGTGAGTCTATGCTCAGCATCCAATAGAAAAAACATACTATAAAAATCACCCTGGAGGACCTAGAAAATGCAGAGGGGACAGATTTCTTTGGCCATAGGAAGCATTGTAGCCACTGGGCAGGGTTGTATTGGATAAACTCATCTTTCCTTTTTCTCTTGGGAGTATTAATTAGATTGTATTGAAATTAATAAAGAGAGGGGGGGGGGGCAGACTGTGGAAAGTATCAAGGTACCTCCCTTTTAACCTCTGTTGGGAAAATCCTGGCAAGGATCCTTGCAAATTCCCTTGCCTTCTACCCATGTCAGAAGACACCCTCCCAGAATTCCAGAACGGCTTCCGCCTTTCCAAAGGTACAGTGGACATAATTTTCACTACACGACAGCTCCAAGAAAAATGCAGGGAACAAAATCAACCTCATTCATTGGCCTTGCAAAGGCATTCGACACAGTGAATTGCAGTGCTCTCTGGACCATCCTCCAAAAAATCCCAGACAAATTTGTGAACATCCTGCGGCTCCTCCATGATGACAACAGTCTTGGACAGCAATGCCTCCCAAAGTGACCCATTTAAGGTCAAATCAGGTGTCAAACAGGGATGTGTTATTGCCCCAACCTTATTCTCTATCTTCATTGCTGTGATACTTCATCTTGTTGATGGGAAGCTTCCCACCGGAGTGGAAATCATCTATCAGATAGATGGCAAGCTATTTAACCTCAGCAGACTGAAAGCCAAAGCCCAGGTCACAACAACAGTCTGGCTTGAGTCTGGAACATGGAACAGAAACAGCCTTGGTTGCCTTAGTGGATGATCTATGCAGGGAACTGGACAGAGGGAGTGTGTCCCTGTTGGTTCTCTTGGACCTTTCAGCAGCCTTCAAAACTGTAAACCATGGTATCCTTCTGGGATGCCTCCCAGGAATGGGGTTCGGAGGGACTGTTCTGCAGTGGCTCCAGTCCTTCCTGAAGGACCGCTCCCAGAAGGTGTTGTTGGGGGACACCTGCTTGGCCCCATAGCCTTTGTCCTGTGGAGTCCCGCAGGGCTCAATATTGTCCCCCATGTTGTTTAACATCTAAATGAAGCTGCTGGGAGAGATCATTGTAGTTTTGGAGTTTGGTGCCATCTGTACACAGATGACATCCAACTCTACTACTCCTTTCCACCTGCTGCTGAAGGAGTCTGTTCAGGTCCCGAACCGGTGCCTGACAGCTGTGACAGTCTGGGTGAGGGTGAGCAAATTGAAATTGAATCAAGACAACGCAGAGATAGTCCTAGTCAGTCGGAAGGCCCAACTAGGTATACGGTTACAGCCTGAAGACACAGGTTCACAGCTTGGGAGTCCTCCTGGATTCATTGCTGAGCCTGAAACCCCAGGTTTCAATGGTGGTCAGGGAGTTTTTGCACAATTAAAACTTGTGCGCCAGCTGTGCCTGTACCATGAGAAGCCAGACTTGGCCACGGTGGTTCACACTCTTGTTACATCTTGAATAGATTACTATAATGCGTTCTACGTGGGGTTGCCTTTGAAGACTATTTGGAAGCTTCAAGTATACAATGGACAACAACCAGATAGCTAACTGGAGTGGCGTACAGGGAGCATACAACTCCCGTTACGTCAGCTACCAAGCAATGGAGCCCCCGGTGGCGCAGTGGGTTAAAGCCCTGTGCCGGCAGGACTGAGGACCGACAGGTCGCAGGTTCGAATCCGGGGAGAGGTGGATGAGCTCCCTCTATCAGCTCCAGCTCCTCATGCGGGGACATGAGAGAAGACTCCCACAAAGATGATAAAACATCAATTCATCCAAGTGTCCCCTGGGCAACGTCCTTGCAGATGGCCAATTCTCTCACACCAGAAGCGACTTGCAGTTTCTCAAGTCACTCCTGACACACACACACACACACAAATGCTACCGAACACAATTCAATTTAGCCTATAAAGCCCTGAACGTTTCTGGACCAGTTTAGCTGTCCGAACACATATCTCCCTATGAACCAGGATGGATGTTAAGATCTTCTGGGGAGGCCCTGCTCTTGGTCCCACCTCCTTTGCAGGTGCTACTGGTGGGGACAAGAGTCAGGGCCTTCTCAGTGCTGGCCCCTCGGCTGTGAAACTCCTTTCCTAGTGATGTGAGATAAGCCCAGCGGCAGCCCTAGGTAGTTTTCAACAGTAAGCAAACAGTATTTTGGAGCCCCCCTCCCCAACCAATCACTGATATATATTTTCTGTTCGTCGTGGGAGTTCTGTGTGCCATATTTCGTTCAATTCCATCATTGGTGGAGTTCAGAATGCTATTTGATTGTAGGTGAACTATACATCCCAGTAACTACAATTCGCATATGTCAAGGTCTATTTTCCCCCAAGAGTGCCTCAAGAGCGCCCCTGGGCAAAATCAACTATACTGCAAATGCTTACTTTGCGTAATGGGTTGAGCTGCCCCTGGATAAGCCTCCTCCCTCTTGGCATTTAGAAAACAACTAAAATCCTGACTTTGGAACTAGACATTCAGAGACTAGTTGCAATGTAATAAATAAACATCTGGGATTCAACGTGACTGTAACTGGAATGGCTCATGGACTCTGATTATGGACTATGTGGTTGTTTTAACTGCTGTTTTAAATCCTGTTTTAATTGTATTTATATGTGATTGTTTTACATTTAATGATTTAATGTTTAATGTATTTATAATCTGTTATGTTTACGTCAATGTGGCATCGAATTGTGGCAAGCTGTACGCCGCTCGGAGTCCTCCCTTGGGGGTGAGATAGGGCGGGATAGAAATACGGTAAATAAATAAAGAAACAAATGTACCTGTTTCGACTTACATACAAATTCGACTTAAGAACCTATCTTGTGCATAACCTGGGAACTGCCTGTATGTACACAAAGGCATGGATGAAATGGAATGTTCCACCGTCCCTCAACCTCTCGTCTGGATTAACTTGTTTTTATTTCTGCCGTTAAGCAACTTGCCGGAAGAAGCTGCCCTTGCGATCAATAGCACGTCGCTTGTTAAAGGATGACAGTTCGTGTCACGGCAGATTAAAGTCTGACGGGCGCAGGATCCCTTTTTTAACGAGATCCGCCTTGGTTTCGATGACATTTACAAGACAGGCA